TAACTTTTCAATAATAAACCAATTTCTACTTTTTCTAAGCTACAGTACTCAGGTGAGCGATGTGGCCCATGGGCCTCTTGTATTAATACATCAGCTCTATCCATGCTTGTGTCATAATTATGTTGAGTGTTAACAACCAAATAAATGTACAGTGTATCATTATATTCCTATCTATTTGGCTGGTGATAATTTTAGGCTTGGAACTTGTTAAACTGAGATTTAAAAAGACTGCCCTTAATACAGTAAGTTGAGATTTGTTTTTTTTTTGTCCAGAAATTCACCAACCAGAGCTCAGTGATTGCTCGACTTGTTCCACGATGTACCGATCCAGACTCGGAAGTTCGACAACTCGCTATCGACTGTATTTACATCTCACTGAAAATTGCCTCACGAATAGAAGGTAATCATAATTATATGTAACCATTTGAAACAAGCTACTTCAGAGAATCTGCATTCCCTGCTTATGGAAAAAAGAACAGCATGCACAGATCTAGAACAGGGGTGCCAAAGACCTGAAAGGCGTGACACTTGAAGAGTGGTGGACGGTGCAATAGGGAAACATGATATAAAATTTCATTGCAAAGCTTAAAAGCCTCTTGAGATATCACCCAGAATCAAAAGTTTTACACAAAGAAAGAATTATGAATTTTCAACCATTGAGCTTTGACCTTTTGACCTCAAAATTAGAAGTGGTCTTTTTAGATCATAGAGAGTTGTTAAATTGTAAAATTTGTTGCAATAGCTCAAAGGCTTTTCAAGATATCACAAGTTACAAACCATCAGAAATATAGCTAGATGGAGGGATGGAATAAGAGACAGACAGACCTAAATTAATATCCCCCTCTTTCATTGAAAATATCTGCACTAAGGACTTGATTTCAATAGGTATAATGTAGATTCTTCAGAGATAGACAAAACACAGAACATAAAGACATTGAGCATTAAGCAACTGGAACACAGTTTGCTTTATTTTACAAATAAGATAAGATCAAAATGTTTATTTAAATGTTGGGTTATTTGGGTTTTCTGGCCTCATTTTTAAGATGATAAGTATGTAGATAAGACAAATAACACCTGATATTGTAGGTTGAAAAATATTATACCTTGTATAATAAGTATAAAAAGTTGTTTTTATATCAGTCTGAATTCATTAAATTTGATCAACTTTAGTAGTTCATGGTGTTAATCAATATTAATTTGTTACTAATGAATTTAGGAGTGTTTTGTCAGACATATGACTTTGTTTTGAGACAAGTACAGTCAAACTTGTCATGATGGTCACCTCTTTCCAGCGATCACTTGTCCTGTGTGGTCACTTTATTTCCCCCCAATGAAATTTCTAAAGAAAGTAATCCTTCAGGCGGTCATCTGTGTAACACGATCCACAGTCATCAAGTTTCATGTAAAATCAACAATTTAAATCAAATAGTGGCTTATTAGACTCAATACATTTTTAGCTCTTCTGAGCCAAAGGCTCAAAGAGCTAATGCTATGGCCATTTGTGCGTTGTGCGTTAATTTTTTAGAATATGGGCCATAACTCAAGAACCCCTTGGCCAATTATTGCCAAATTTGTCACAGGGTATCCTTGGCCCAAGGGCTACCATTTATACTAAAATTAGGGGTGGGACCCTAAAACAAGGAAAGATAATCACGAAAATAAAATCAAGAGTACTGATTGCTAAAAAATCTTCTTCTCCAGAACCACCAGGCAGATTTTCACCAAACTTACATACAAGGGTCAGGATATGTTGAAGATTAAATATTGTTCAAGGCATGACCCTGGGGCAAAGGGCGTGGTCTCAAGGTCACTTCAAAGTTGACCAAAATTTACACTTATTAAAAACGTTGATATTATGCTTACTATAAAGACTAGGATCATCAAATCTTGTAAGTTGATGCATCTCAGGACTTGATATCATGTTAATACAAAAGTAGGTCACGGTGACCTACTTTTTAAATTTTACGGGCTTTTGTTTTCAAATTGATTTGGAGGCATATTTTGGACACTTTAAGGCCTATGATCATAAAACTTTGTCAGTTGGTGCATCTTGGGTCCACAAACAACATCAACTTAAAAGTAGGTCATCGTGACCTACTTTTTGAATTTTATGGCTAATCTTTTCTAAAACATTTAATCCCATTATTTCAGACACTGAGAGGTTTAGAATCACCAAATCTTGTAAGTTGATGCATCTAGAGGCCTTAAAACATATTTATCAAAAAGTAGGTCACTGTGACCTACTTTTTGAACTTTGCGGGCATTTGTTTTTAAATTGTTTAAAAGGCATATTTTGAATACTATTAGACCTATGATCACCAGATTTTGTCAGTTGATGCATCTTTGGTCTTCAGAAAATGTCGACCAAAAAGTTGGTCACTGTGACCTACTTTTGACATTTTATGGCTAGATTTAAGTATCTCGGGTACTAATTGGCTTAGAATCATCAAAATTTGTCAGTTGATGCATCTTGGGTTTTCGGAGAATGTCGATCAAAAAGTAGGTCACAGTGACCTACTTTTGACATTTTATGGCTATATTTTAGTATCTCAGGTACTTATTGGCTTAGAATCATCAAACTTTGTCATTCAATGCATCTTGGGTTTTCGGAGCATGTCGACCAAAAAGTAGGTCATAGTGACCTATTTTTGACATTTTATGGCTAGTTTTATGTATCTCAGGTACTAATTGGTTTAGAATCATCAAATTTTGTCATTTGATGCATCTTAGATTTTCGGAGCATGTTGACCAAAAAGTAGGTCACGGTGACCCACTTTTGAATATCTCAGGTACTGATTGGCTTAGAATCATCAAACTTTGTCAGTAGATGCATCGTGGGTTTTCGGAGAATGTCGACCAAAAAGTAGGTCACAGTGACCTACTTTTGTCATTTTATGGCTAAATTTAGGTATTTCGGGTACTTTTCGGGTAATTTTAGGGTAATTTAGGTATTTTGGCTTAAAATCATCAAACTTTGTTATTTGATGCATCTTGGGTTCTCGGAGAATGATGATCAAAATATAGGTCACAGTGACCTACTTGTGACATTTATGGCTATATTTAAGTATTCTAGGGTACTTATTGGCTTAGAATTGTTAAACTTTGTCAGTTTATGCACCTTGGGTTTTTGGAGAATGTTGACCAATAAGTAGGTCACTGTGACCCACTTTTGAATATCTCAAGTACTTATTGGCTTAGAATCATCAATCTTTGTCAAATAATGCAACTTGTGTCCTCAGAAAATTTCAATCAAAAAGTAGGTCACCATGACCTACTTATAGTATTTTATAGTTACATTTAAATATCTTCAGCCCTAACTGGCTAAGAATCATCAAACTTTGTCAGTTGATGCATATTGGGTCTTAGGATAGATTGTATAATTTATCAGAAGAGTGATTCAAGGCCCTTGGGCCTCTTGTTGTTGGAGTCATCTTTAGCTTAAATTAATTTGACAATTTTCAAATTTTCTAAAAAATTTTAGGAAGACCATCAATGTCCAATGCACATCTTTCTTTAATATTTTATAATGTAGTATTATAAAACATAGAGCTAGCATAAACAGGGAAAGAATTTTTTCTTGAAAAAGTTGAACCTTTATTCCAAGATGACCTCTCTATAAAGGTCACTTTTAATGGTTCCCTCAGGCGATGACTTAATACAGTTTTGACTGTATTAATGAATTAAGGAGTGTCTTGTTAGACATATCACTAATGTTATTTTACAAGTATTACTGAATTCAGGAGTTTATTTCTTGTTATGTTTGTTTCAGGTCACCCAGCGGACTACAAGGACACAATGATAGAGGCCCTCCCCACACTCAAAGAGAGGCTGGTCAAGGGAGATCCCAACATCCTGTTCAGTGTTATTAATGATCTCTCCAAGGTAAGTGGCAGCTAGAGATATCAGATATCTAATATAGACCATAATACACTTTATTATATGATAGAATAATTCCATTCTCTCGGATTGGATGAGAATCAACAGTTGAAATAAAAATCTAATACAATGTAGTACGTGTATATGAAATTCACCTGTGCATGACCTTCCAGGTGAATATAAAAATTGATTATCTCTACATCGATCGAAAAATAGATCAAGAATTCGAAATTGATACAAATCATCAATTGCGGGGATCCAATGTTCATGGATTTCATGCATGTGTCACTCTTACATACAAATTTACATCCCTAAGGATAAATTATTTTGTCAAGATATGTGTGCATTGAATCTTCTGTATATACAAGTTATCCATGTAAATATGCGCTCGCAAACCAACTAAAATTTGTCTATTCATTGATTCATGTAATAAAATAATTACTGCTGTTTTTCTTTAGTCAGTTCAATGATTTGGCCACCTTCGAAGTGCACATGATACAAGAAGTGCACATGATACAAAAATGTACTTCTCAGGTGGCAAAATCATTGTATTGACCTCAAGAAAAGTAATAATTGTATCATATTGTCCATGGTTGCTATATTGACAATGTAATTGGAATAAAAGACCTCGATGTTGACCTGATATAGATTTGATGTCATCCAAAATTGGAATGTTGAAGTAGTTTATAATACATGTACTAGTTAATTTAGAGTTTTGATCACCTCCTGTCTCGTGGATCCAAGGTAAACATGTAGATATAAAGCTTGTTTTAATACGTCCTCTGAGAGTGCTCTTGCTGTGTTTCTTCAGGTGATTGCTAAGAAGATGCCATCCGCCCAGCTGCAGAACTTCCTGGAGGTTTTACAGGAGGGGCTACTGGACCCCCAGTCTCACAGTTCATCAGGGGCATGTGTGGTTCTCAACGGCCTGTTGAAGACTCGCGGGGCAGAGATCCTTAGTCAGGTAGGGGTAGAGATAAGACTCAAATAACGGAAACTTTCCTAAGCTTAACATAAACATTTAAGCACATTTGCTTCAATTAACAATGCAAGTATTTGAAAATATAATGTAAGTTGGTTATTATGCACATACTGTGAATTACGACAATAATTTTAGTTCCCACTTTAGTATTTTCCTTGTTTTTAACTGTTTGTTTATCTGTTTGTCTCCCAGTGCATGTCATTAACTTTCACTGTATTTGAAAATATAATGTAAGTTGGTTATTATGCACCCATGAATGAAAGAGACGTATATTTTACCTGTCTAATTCTGCTTTTTCTGTTTGTTTGTCCAAGGTCAATTCCTTGTGACCATGAATGTGAGACTTCATATGCTAAAAATTAAGCTTTTACTCAAACTTTAACCTTCGTCAATAACTTTTGACCAATATGCTAAAATTAGTTTCTACTAGACTTAATATTTGGCATGCATACTCCACTAATTTAGCCTTTTCACATGTCATTAAAGTCAATAACTTTTTGACCTTGACTGTGACCTATATGCTAAAAATAGATTTTTCGAACTGTTGCCATAACTTTTGAACCATAAGAGTCAGAGACTTCATATTTGGTATGCATACTTCACTAATTAAGCTCTTTTAAATGACACCAAGGTCAATGACCTTGTGACGTTGACTGTGACCTATATGCTAAAAATATGTTTTTTTAACTTTGTTGAAAACGGGTGCATAGTGTTTCACAAACACGTCTTGCTTTGGAATTTGTAACAAAGGTTTGAATAAAAAAAATAAAAATAAATTTCACAACTGGTTAACAAAAAAAATTGTTTTACCCTACACACATATTTTAAAATTCAGATTTCTGGAAAAATGGTAAAATAACAAAATATTACATAGGCTTCAGGGATATTTGATAATCCAAATCTGCGTATGAAATTTAACGTGTTTGCATGTGCTTTAAAGTTACAGTTGTGAAAAAAGTTCAAAATTATTTAGATTTTAACCAAAACAAAATAATTTTTTTAGTTTCCCGGGATGTTTAAAATTTTACACACATAAAAAAATAGGGCTGGGTATTGACCCGAGATTTCGTATTGCGATATATTGCGATATTTGTAACTGTATTGCGATATGTATTGCAATATTTTCAACGTAATGAAAATGGCATTTTCTTACTATATTTACTTTAATTTACATGCAGAATGTACATAACTATGATAAGTAACCAACACGGGGGAAAAATCTTGTTGATTTCATTTAAGTTATGCTCTGAAATGTTCCCACAAAACAAATGTTTGGCTTAATGACAAACTTTAATTAGTCCATTTCTATATTTAATGACAAAATTCCTTAATCTAAGCATATTGCCAATATATCGATATTTCAAAATTATTGCGATACATATTTTTTGTCATTGTATTGCAATATATTGAAATATCGATATTATTGCCCAGCCCTATAAAAAAAGTTAATAAGTGTGGTGACTGTATATTTGAATGCACATGCACGTGTGTTTTTTGTATCATGAAATGTCTGAAATCTATATTTTGTAACCTTCGTATTGGTATGGTTGCTTTTATAAAGGCATCTCTACATGTAAATTCTCTGTTTTTGTCCCCCGCTTGAAAAGTGGGGGATATTAATTTGGGTTTGTCCGTCCGTCCGTCCGTCTGTCCGTCCGTCCGTCCGTCCGTCTTCCTGTCTGTCTGTAACGCTTTCGTTTCCACACGATATCTCGAGAACCCTTTGAGCTTTTGCAATGAAATTTAGCATAGCAACTCCCTATGGACTAAAGAAGACCCCTATTGATTTTGAGGTCAAAAGGTCAAAGGTCAAGGTCATAAATAAGCAAATTCTGTCTGTTAAAACACTTTCGTTTCCACACGATATCTCTAGAACCATTTGAGCTATCGCAATGAAATTTTACATAACAACTCCCTGTGGCCTAAAGAAGAACCCTATTGATTTTGAGGTCAAAAGGTCAAAGTTCAAGGTCGTAAATTTATACATTCTGTCTGTGTGTAACACTATCCTTTCCGGGCGATATTTGAAGAAGATTTCGAGCTTTTGCAATGTAATTTTACACCAAAACTCCCTAGGACCTCTCTCACCCCTCTCAAAGTGCCCCGCCCCTTTTGTTTTATTAGTATTTATAGTATTACATGTCGCTATTTTTAGCGCAGGGGCATGAGGAGAGTTATTGCGTATAAAACAGGTTCTCAACCTTATTACATCTATTAGAACTGTTTAATAAAGGCTAAATAAATCAAACACTATGGATTGTGTAAAATTTTGAGAATACCGAACAAGAAAACATGAATATATACATGTAATGATGTATGTGACTTCAGTTCTGCATATACTTCACTCCGCGTAAAGCGACTCCGTGGTCTAGGGGTTATGTCTCTCGCTTCTAATGTGAGAGATCCCGGGATCGAATCTCGGTCGGTCCTTTCTTTTCTTTTTTTTTAAATACTTTTTAATTTTTTTACTAAATGATTCAGCATGTAAAATGAAAAATTTATGAGGTTATAAAATCATCATTACAGTGTGATAAATATTCCATATAAAAAAATCTTCTATACACATAATAAAGAATAAGCAATCAAATCTTTATATGCATATTGACATACATGTATTTTATTTCCTTCAGTATACATGTATACATTTAATAATTCTACAAATTAAGTTCTTTATGGTTATGAAGCTGGCGGGGGACACGAATTCTCTGAATTAGCTTGTTTGTTTTATATTAAATGAAATATTTAAGGGTAAATCAAAATATTCTGTACAGAATGGCTGGGACATTTATGACCACCGATCATACTCGACATCTTCTGATTGTTTTTCAATATTTTTGCATGGACCAGACATGGTGGTATTACAGAACTGTAAACATGCATAAAACATCTGTCAAACCTATATATGGCTTCCAATATTTGTAATCTCTCTTTTCCCCACGTTAATTGTCTTGGTTATGAGTTATGGTTATGGCTTGTTTTCATTTATTTCCTTTGTGTATTCTGGAAGAGAAGGAGGATTAATTTTTGTAAAAGTGCATTTTTAGATCTGTGATAGAAAGTTATGTAGCATTATAACACTGACCATTCCCTGTAATAACTATGTTACAAAAGAAAGTTTAATAAAGAAATTATTTATTCTGTGATATATAATGTGTAATACACTGCTCGTCTTTTACTGCAGGTGGATAACATAGTTACCTCCCTTCACAGTAAACTCGCGAGTATAGACTTCACACAGACTCGGACCGGGACACTGCGCTCGATTCGGACACTCGCTACTCACCACCTGAGCTCAGTCCTTAAAACATTGCTGAATTATCAACTGCCATATGACAGGTTTGTACAAAATCTTATAGACTCGCTTATAGACTTAATGCTAAAACACTGGTCAGCTAGCCCATGTCTGGTAGAATTGACAGAAAAACGTTTGAATCAAATGTAAGTTTGTGATCTGAAGCATGTATTAGTCAGAGCATCATCTGAATCAGGTGCATTCTGTAGCTGTTTGGCAACTTCAGGAAACTGACAAAATGCTGATAAACCTTTAGTTAAGAACCCTCTCTACACTGCGCACTAAAGAGTTCCAATTCTTTGGCATTTTTCTGCAGTTGGAGTGATCTATCCTTAGATTTAAATTCTAAAAAAAAAAAAATGAAATTAACAGTATATTACTGAATTTATGATCAATACAAGTATTCTTAGCATTTTTAAAGGCCAAGATAAATTAATTGAACATGTTATTAATATGTATATTCTCTATGGAAGTAAACAACAATAATTTTTATTCACTGATACTGTGTTGTGTTTGAACATTTTTCCTGGGGGTAAATGCCACGCACCAAATACTGATAATTAAATAGATAAACTTGATATCAACATCTTTATACAATATATTTTTCTCAATGACCAAAAAAACATTTTGCGCTGGTGTAGAGAGGGTCCTTAACAATCACCTGGACCAATATATTGGCAATCAAACATTGCATGCCACCTTTTATTTGCAAGAACTTTATTTCATTTTTGCATAATTGCATGAGATGCTCTCTTCAAAAAATTTATTCTGGCATGTATTTTTAATGGTATAGATTATGCAAAATAAAAACCTGAACTTGTGAATTTTTTTTTCATTGCTTCTAAATACATGTGTACTGAATACCTATCTTGCCAAAAAATATAGTGCATCAAAATACTGTAGACGTACTTTTTTCCACGGGGTCTTAATTCCGCGGAATCTCAATTTCTGTTGAATCTGCGTGTAGAAAATTACGCGGATTTCCAAGACTGTCACTATATGCCTAACATTTATATTTAGTACGCTTGGACAAATTTCAATATAACTTGGCATACAAGTTTCCGCGGATTTGTTACCGCGTACATTGCGTAAATTAATACCATGCGGAAAAAAGTACTTCTACAGTATGTTGATCTGCAGTATTCTATGAGTCATCAACCTTTACAAGGGATGTATCAAGAACACTATACAAATGATTTATTAAGTTCTTTCTGGTAATAATAATTTTGTTTTGAACTTTCATCCCACACAGGGTGTCAGGAACAATTACCCCCTTGAAGTTTTTGCATTGTTTTGGTCTCTGAATTATTTTTTGTCTTTGTTTGGTGCCAGACTTTTACAAGATAAAAATTAAAGCTTTTCTAAGAACAACTGTAGAAAACAGTCATGTTTATTTAATATTTGGCATATAATCAGTATATGATGACAAAAATAATAAATGGTTTTGTCCCCAGCTTTCATAATTTTTTTTAGCTCACCTGAGCTGAAAGCTCAAGTGAGTCTTTCTGATCACCAAATGTCTGTCATCTGTCAGTCCAGCTGTTTGTCTGTCTGTTCATCTGTAAACTTTTCACATTTTCAACTTCTTCTTATTAACCACTGGGCCAATTTGAACCAAACTTGGTACAAAGCATCCTTCGCTGAAGTGGAATTTAAATGATTAAAATGAAGGGCCAAGCCCCCTTCCAAGGGGAGATAATCAAATTCTTCCAAAAGACAAAAATAGGATGGGGGGTCATAAAAATCTTCTCAAGAACCACTGGCCCAGAAAAGCTGAATTTTATGTGGAAGCATCATGGGTTAGTGAAGATTCTAAATTGTTCAAATCATGACCCCACGGGGGTAGAGCAAGGCCACAATAGGGAATCCTAATTTTACATTGAAATATAGGGGGAAATCTTAAAAAATCTTCTCAAGAACCACTGGGCCAGGAAAGTTGAAACTTATGTGGAATCATCCTGGGGTAGTCTAGATTCTAAATTGTTTTGTTCAAATCATTACCCCAGGGGTAGGGCGGGGCCACAGTAGGGAATCCTATTTACATAGAAATGTATAGGAAATTTTTAAAAAATCTTCTCAAGAACCACTGGGTCAGAAATGCTGAAAATTATTTGGAAGCATCCTTGGGTAGTGTAGATTCTAAATTATTCAAATTATGACCCCTTGGATAACGTTTGGCCACAACTGGGAATCCAAGTTTTACATTGAAATTATAAAGGAGAAATCTTTTTCTCAAGAACCACTGGGCCAAGAAATGTGAAACTTATTTGGAAGCATTCTTGGATAGTGTACATTCTAAATGGTTCAAATCATGAGCCCCGGAAGTAGGGCCGGGCTACAATAGGTATTACATGGGGAGAATCTGGTGAAGAACAGCAAGGCCAAAGTTACTCTGGTGAATGATGTGGCCCATGGGCTTCTTGTGTTACCTTGCATGGTCTTAGATTTTGCACTAGGAGGGACTGGACTCCTCATACCTTTTACTTGTGAATTGTTATGATTCTTGACCTTGAAGTTTGACTTACTTTTCAAAACTGTTTGCTGTGACCCTAACTTTTTACACCAGAAGTGAAATGGATTTCATATATTTTACATATTTTAATCTTTGTCCTAGCTGTTGCAGAAGAACATATTGCTCAAAACATTTTTTAGTATGATGGACAGTCAAGACAGGACATACAATATTGTTACAATAAGACATAAATCATTGCCCTCTAACAAATAAAACCCCAAAATCAGGAGACCACAATTGTTTGAATTTGTCTCTTCCAACAATTTTAACTTGTTTCTGCAGTCTTTGATAGTAAGATTTTCTCACAGAGTTCCCAGTGTTATATGCAATCTCCAAGACTTGTGTTGTTGAGCTGGTATGTGTTAACTTGTACTGTGTACTTTTGTAGTGACATGGTAGAGATTTGGCAGACCCTCTCCCAGGACCCCCAGCTTACCACAGCCATGATTGACCACATGCTGGAAAAGCTTCACAAGAGTCTGCCGTACGAAGAGAGACAGAATGAAGAGGAAGTAACGAGGACAGCCACCAGTTTACCTATGGCAGTGAGTATGTTAGACCACTAGTTTACCTATGTTGGATTTTGTGGTTATGTACATTTTTTTTAATAAACATTGAAGTAAGAAAATGCTTTTTTGCTAGAAAGTGTAAAATCATATGTGTGGGTGTATTTATAATAGTGATTTTAAAGCTGGAAAATTTAGAACTTCAAAGCTGAAAGCAAAATTCAGTGATGTGAAATGGTAAATGGCATCTGAAATGAATAAGTTATAAGAAACAGTTCAAAGAAATAAACTGGGCCAGGGTGTCAGAACATTGTAAACAGATTTCATCCAGTAAAGAAGTCTGTACCTCGGTAACTCTGTTGATCTTTTTTTAGGTGACTTGTGCTCTGAAGATAATATTTGACTGTGAAGAAACAGAGGAGCAAGTGTTGAAGGCTTATCACACTCTGATGGGAGCACTGATGCTGAGGATTGGTTCATCTGTAGGGGTCAAGCCGGTCAAGCAGAAAGAGGTGAGCATGAATACTAGCCATGCAGAAAGGGAAAGATCAGTCATGTGGAAACAGTTCAAGGTGAAAACTAGTCACACAGAATAAGTTTTATTTGTAAGAGAACAAAAAATTCAAAGTCAAGAAAAATCATTGTTTGTGCACTGGAAATGGAAAAAATACCGGTACACACTTTTGACCTTATTAGCTTGAACATTAGAATATGTCATCTCATACAATAAATAGACTGCAAAATATACTGGTCATGCATTTCTTTATAGTATATAATACATAGTGAGAATAAGAAGATTTTTATATCATACAACTTTCATTTTGGTTTTCAAAAAGACAGATAAAGTTCTAGAGAGATTCTGCCCCCCCCCCCCCCCCCCCCCCCCCCAAAGTTGCCATAAAAATATTCATGTGGATAAGGATTCAAAATTAAGAGGAATTAACATGATCAGTACTGTGTAATTATGACATCAACTTTTTCTAGCTTATGACCTACACAGACACAGCCGAAATAAAAGAGGCATATGTTGAAATGATAGGTTATGTACACTTTGTTTTGATTCTTATTTTACAAGGATGTAGAATGAACGAATGATTTATTGTAGATGGAAAAAGAGGACAAATCTAAAGGGAAGAAACCAGTACCTGTAACCAGTAAAAATCCTGAACCAAGCAAGTAAGTAATATTAAAAGAAAAAAAAAATCAAGCAAGGACATATAAAAGTTCTTTATATTTGTATAAAAATAAGACAAAGCCTTTCTTGACAGTATAACATTTTTTGTCTGATTTAAAAAACATCAGTGGATGTATAAAAACTTCTTTCAAGTTGGATTTAAGCTGTTCCAGACATTTTTACTTTATACCAGTAAATACTGCAAAATCATAAAGTAATGCCTATACTTGCTGTGTTTTGACATACTGGATAATAAAGAATGATATTTTTCAGGACAGTGGTAGAAACCTTCAGGTCTTTCCTGGTGAGAACAAAGAGTACCGATGTCATTGAGATTCTGACAGAAGAGGAATGCTGGGAAAAGTTTGAGGAGGAGGAAAATTATCCTGAGGCCTTTACAATACTCACAAGGTAATAACTTTGACTTTTTTAGCCAAGTTTTGAAATGCTTGAACCAAGGTCATTCAGACAGTTCAGGGTTATTGGTAAAAAAATTATTTAAATCCTTTCAAGATTGTTAATTTTGTTATGGAAGCTAATATAACATTTACTAAAACCATTACCATTTCAATTATATAAGTTTGTATGTTTGATAGTAACTTTTAAAAAAAGGACAAAAATTCAAACCTGTAATGTTTTACATGTATAACCTTTTCTTTCCCAATGTACTACATGAAAAATTACCACAATTCTTGTTGAATATCACAATTAGTAGAAGTACAGTACCCTCAGAGACTTGTGGTTTTTTACAGAGCCTTAGTTTCTAGCAGTGTGGCAGCCCCTCACGTGTCTCAGATTGTGGCTTCCCTGACCTCCGCCTTGTCTAGTCTGTACGATCCACAGAGAGTTGTGGTGGCAGCATTTTTTGCTGAGGTAAGCTAACTTTGCATAATTATCATACTGGGTAAATATCAAGAAAACTGAATTCAATTAATTTCATAAGAATATTCTTAGAGGAGGTAAATTTTTCTCTTCTGTGAGCAATATGTGAGGCACATTAATGAGGGCACTTAGAGATCAGACATCTTCACTGATGTAACCTTTCTGATCATGATGTAGCTATTTTCCTAACTTATTTTGATTTCATGTCTACAACTTTTTTTGGAAGTTTTTCCTTGCCACCTGGGCTGGCAGATCTAAGATAGATCTTAAATGGAATTTGAAGAGAAAATCGACCTTTTTCCCTTACTGACCTCATTCCTTTTAAAGTCTAGATGTTTTTACTATGCATTGAGACAAATGTTCTGATGAAAATGTTGAATTTGGTGCCTGACTTTTGAAGTTTACTTGCAAATAAACTGGAGGACATGCAGACAAATGGAATGAAAACTTTTCTTTCTATGCATTTGAGTACATGATTATTTGATTTCTTATTGTAACATGGAAAATTGGTATATTTTTCTTCAACGCCTTTTCCATATTGTATAATATGTCATTCTATTGTGATTCAATGACCTTGTCAGCAAATACAATTTATTATTGAGTCAAATGCTGACATTTTTCGTACTCATTGTTAGGCCATTATCTATACACTGAATTATCTCTAGATTCTCTGTAAACTCAGTCATGACATTGAGCATAGGACTGGTGTGACCAGTCAGCAGGGGATGCTCACTCCTCCATGGCACCTGATCCCACTCTGATGGTTTGAGTGGTCTTGTTTGTCCTGCTCTCTTTTTGCTTTGTTTCATTCGACCTTTGAGCTTGTCTCCAGATTTCTTCTTAATGATGATTATGGACTCACTGTTCTCATAAATAGATAATACTGTCTAGTAGGTTCTACTTCAAAAAAGATTAATTATGTTTCTCTTTATTTCTAGCTCGAAAATGGTAGTGCTTAAAAGTGTCATGCAAATTTGTGTCCGATGTTTGGAGAAATGAACGTACTACCAGCTCTAAAAAGAATTATACGAACATTGAAGCGAAATTTCTTTAAAATTTATGTAGAATTACCAATCTTTGACAAAATTCACCGAAGTCTGAATCGTTCCGTTGAAGTCGAATTTAAAGAACGATAACTCTAAAAATAAAAAAATCAATTAACCAGAAGTGTATGGATAATGCAGACCTGGTAGAGCTGGTAATGAATAGTTTGTTGGGAAGATTGGTGGATTCTTCACACAAAGTCCGTATGCTGTGTATCAGGGGACTCGGAAACATTGCCAGTGTTAGTTCGGAACTGGTAAGTAAACATAGCTAGGGTTAACTCAGAACTGGTAAGTAAACATAGCTAGCGTCAGCTCAGAACTGGTGAGTAAACATAGCTAGGGTTAGCTCGGAACTGATAAATAAACATAGCTAGCGTTAGCTCGCAACTGGTAAGTAAACGTAGCTAGTGTCAGCTCAGAACTGGTAAGTAAACATAGCTAGCGTCAGCTCGGAACTGATAAGTAAACATAGCTAGTGTCAGCTCAGAACTGGTAAGTAACATATAGCTAACGTTAGCTCGGAACTGGTAAGTAAACAAAGCTAGTTTCAGCTCAGAACTGGTAAGTAAACATAGCTAGCTTCAGCTCAAAACAGGTAAGTAAACATAGCTAGCGTTAGCTCAGAACTGGTGAGTAAACATAGCTAGTGTAAGCTCAGAACTGGTAAGTAAACATAGCTAGTGTCAGCTCAGAACTGGTAAGTAAACATAGCTAGCGTTAGCTCGGAACTGGTAAGGAAACATAGCTAGCGTCAGCTCGGAACTGGTAAGTAAACATAGCTAGCGTTAGCTCAGAACTGGTAAGTAAACAAAGCTAGTTTCAGCTCAGAACTGGTAAGTAAACATAGCTAGTTTCAGCTCAGAACTGGTAAGTAACATATAGCTAGCGTTAGCTCAGACCTGGTAAGTAAACAAAGCTAGTTTCAGCTTGGAACTGATAAGTAAACATAGCTAGCGTTAGCTTGGAACTGGTAAGTAAACATAGCTAGTGTCAGCTCAGAACTGGTAAGTAAACTTAGATATAGTGTCAGCCAAGAACTGACTAGTTAACATTTTTGGGGAGATTTGCAGTATTATATTTTATATATATATTATTACCTCAGGCTTTTAGAATAGCTTATTAGAATTCAGTTATTTTAACCAGGTGAAAAAATACTCTACGACCGTGTTGTCTGCCATGATGGCGGGAATGGATGATAAAGAAGATCCAGATGATGACATCACTACAGAAGCCATGAGTGGGTTGTCACGGATACTGTGTGAAATCGAGGAAAGCCACATCCGTGCTATTCTTATCAACGTCTCTCTTAAAATCCGCCCATGTTTTGAAAAGGTACATGTATTTATTAAAATAGCAACTAGTATCAACCTACGTTTTAAGACATAAACATTTCTTATAATGTTATTTATAGTCTATGTGCTTAATCTCTTCTTCATTCTCTGTAGGAAAAGCCAACTGTGAGAGCTCAAGCTATTATTTTATTTGGAAATCTTTCCCGCTTTGGAGATGGTCCCTCAAAAGCTCCTTTCCTAGAACAAATCCATAGCAATCTAGTCAGTCTTCTTCTCCATCTGAATGACCCCGAGATAGAGGTCAAGAAGGTCAGATCATTGGTCAAATCAGACAGAAGTGGTACATACCTTTGATATTCTTTACAGTGCTTTTATTGATTTTCTTCTTTTGTAGGCTTGTAAATTCTCACTGAGGTTATTAGGCCCTCTAATGGGGTCAGAAGCCATTAACAGCAAATTCCAGCGCCACCTACTGGAGGATGCTAACCTTATCTATGGAGAATTCCTAAATGACCTTGCTAAACTCATGGTATACTTGAAAAAGCATTGATTTGCTATAAAAACATTTCTCTTCATAATTTCATCTCGTATCCTGTTTTCAACCATATTGTATTTTTTATCTAATATTTAAAATTTTTCTTTTAGCTTATATAAAAATATCACATGCTTTTACATCATTTTTGACTGATATTTAAAACAAAAATCTGAATTTGTGAAAATAGTCAGAGTATATTAATTACAGAAACTTTAATGTAGACTACGTGTAATTTACAGTGTACAGAATTATCACAAAAAAAATATAATAATTAACAATGAAAAGGGTAGCTAGATCAAATGATTTTTCTTTTCCATAAATACTATCATTTTCATCCAGAATTTTAGTGAGAAATGTGATCTACATTAAAAATTTCCAAAGGGTGCAGATTTTGAGAGAAAGTATAGCGATAATGAATGAAATTGTTTGTAACAAAAATATGCAACCTGTTGAAAATTTTCATTAAAGACAAATGATCATATTTTAGTAGTGTAAAATATTTTATCACTCAACCAATCAAAAAAGCATGGAAAAAAGATTTATTTCTTAAATCTGAACACTTGTGGGTTCCTTACATTTAAATTTTCTACCCTTTTTGAATACTATTTGTATAAAATATACATGTACATGTACCCCATTTTCAGGATTTTTGTAAACGGAATATTCTTGATTGATATAAAGGATTCTTAAATATTAAACTGTCAGTTTAAATATTATGACTTTCGATTAAAAATATGAACTGTGGTCATTTTATTGATTTTGTTTTTTTTTGTATTTTCATTTGTAGATAGAAGAATTTCCAGACAAAATTAACTTTTATGTGATGGGATGCGTCTCTTTCTTTAAAAGCCTCTGGCCCGAGATCAAGAGCAATGCTGCTCTCTTTGTGGGTAAGACTCGGAGTAAATCAATCAATGTTCTGGTATGAGAACAGTTGTTATACATTCTTGGGAAGAGTTTTTGCTCCCACTACTGTACGTCTTTGGGGTTTTCTCATGCTTGAGTTTTTTATCCCCTTGCAGTAGAATTGGAGGGGATATACATGCAGAGTAATGCACTTTTGAGTGTGTGGATGGGTGAACCAGTGCTTGCTAATTTAATAATTATGTGGAAATAATAAAATTTACATCTGGATCAATATGCTCTTTTGTGTGGGATAATCTCATTTGTGGTGCCCTTCTTTTGCAATGCTGAGTATTTTATTTCTCTTAAGAAAAGGTTTCTATTATAGTGATTCTACATTATTATTATTCTTTTTTTTTGACAAAATTTTGTGCACGCGATTTCTCGAAAACTACAAACTTTCACAAAATATGCGTCATTACATGAACTTGTGCAGTCGATAATTTATTTTGGAAAATTCGCTGATGTTTTCTGATTTTAAAATGCAATTACAATTAATTATGTTCCCCAAATGAAGTTGGGGAACATATTGTTTTTACTCTGTTTCTTCTTCTTATTATTATTATTCCTGGGAAAATTTTGTCCACGAGTAATCTTGTAAACAACACATCCGAGTAAGGTAAAATGTTTTTAGGGTCAGTAGACATGTTATGTAGATTTGCCGAACAAAGGTCATTTTGCGCGCACGTGCTTGCAAGAGCACGCACGTGCAACATGAAAAATGACCGATTTAATTGATATCGGCATAACTTTTTACATTTTTGATGAAATGCTTTGAAACTCATAATATAAGGATATATTAGTGGCATAGACAATATGACATGGTCAAAATAGAAAGATCTCACGCGCATGCATGTACGCTTCGCTTTGATTGGCTGAAACTAAAGTCTCAATAACTTTCTTGTTTTTCGACGAAATTCTATGAAATTTTGAACGTAGCCATGCATTAAGATACCCTACAACATGATACATGTATATAGCAATTATCATGAAAACACGTGCATGCACGTGCGCTGCAATCTGATTGGCTTAAACTTTAAATAGCTATAACTCCCTTGGTTTTCAACCTAACAGCATGGGATTTAGAACATAGATAGATATAATGAACTTCTACAAGAAGGTATGGTCACCATGCACATGCATCCACGTGCGTGTACGTGCACTGTAATCTGATTGGCTGAAACTTTAAATAGCTATAACTCCCTTGGTTTTCAACCAAACAGGATGGGATTTAGAACATAGATAGATATAATGAACTTCTACAAGAAGCTATTGTCACCATGCACATGCATACACGTGCATGTACGTGCGCTGTAATCTGATTGGCTGAAACTTTAAACAGCTATAACTCCCTTGGTTTTCAACCAAACAGGATGGGATTTAGAACATAGATATTTGTAATGGACTTCTACAAGAAGATATGGTCACCATGCTCATATATGCACGTGCGTGCACGTGAAATGAGTTAAATAAAAATATACTTGAATGAGCGTATTTTTTAATACTTTTGGATTAAATACTTTAATATAAAATATGCATAGATTGTGTAGACAAGATGATATGGTCATTATGCACATGCATTCACATGTGCAGGCGTGCAATGCTAAAATTTGAATAACTTGGCGTTGTTAAAGTCTCAAATGCAAAAGTTTTTGTCTTATTTAATGAACCTTACAGGGAATATGGCACGAAAAGGGAGTTGGGGAGCATTTGGGGAACATCTGTAACGGTCCCCGTTACAATAAGCACTAGTTTTCAGTACTTTGATATGCAATACTTTGATAATTCATTACCTTAGGTTATTCAATTGTCATTTTTGATCGAGGAGTTATATTGAAGCATGGAAATGAATGCATTGGGTAAGAAAAAAAGGTCAGTGAAGACTGTCAAGATTGTGTTACCTTTGAGATTCTGAAAGTATAAACACCTTGATGGTTATTATTCAAATTTACTTATTTAGTTGATACCTCAATGGTTGATACATGTAATACACTGATGTTGCTATTTTTAGGTTACAATGGTTGATACATGTAATTCACAGTTGTTACTATTTATAGGTTACAATGGTTGATACATGTAATACACTGATGTTACTATTTCTTGGTTACAATGGGTGACCATTTATCGGTAACAACTTGGAATACATTTAATACACTGATGTTACTATTTATAGGTTACAACTGGAGATACATGTAATACACTGATGTTACTATTTATAGGTTACAACTGGAGATACATGTAATACACTGATGTTACTATTTATAGGTTACAATAGTTGATACATGTAATACAATGATGTTACCATTTAAAGGTTACAATGGTTGATTCATGTGATACACAGTTGTTACTATTTATAGGTTACAATGTTTGATACATGTACAGTAATACACTGATGTTACTATTTATAGGTTACAACTGGAGATACATGTAATACACTGATCTTACTATTTATAGGTTACAATAGTTGATACATGTAATACACTGATGTTACTATTTATAGGTTACAATGGTTGATACATGTAATACACTGATGTTACTATTTATAGGTTACAATGGTTGATACATGTAATACACTGATGTTACTATTTATAGGTTACAATAGTTGATACATGTAATACACTGATGTTACTATTTATAAGTTACAACTGGAGATACATGTAATACACTGATGTTACTATTTATAGGTTACAATAGGTGACTATTTATAGGTTACAATGATTGATACATGTAATACACTGATGTTACTATTTATAGGTTACAATGGTTGATACATGTAATACACTGATGTTACTATTTATAGGTTACAACTGGAGATACATGTAATACACTGATGTTACTATTTATAGGTTACAATAGGTGACTATTTATAGGTTACAATGATTGATACATGTAATACACTGATGTTACTATTTATAGGTTACAATGGTTGATACATGTAATACACAATGGTTGATACATATACATGTAATACTTACTATTTATAGGTTACAATAGTTGATACATGTAATACACTGATCTTACTATTTATAGGTTACAATGGTTGATACATGTAATACACTGATGTTGTTATTTATAGGTTACAATAGTTGAATATTTATAGGTTACAATGGTTGATACATGTAATACACTGATGTTACTATTTATAGGTTACAATGGTTGATACATGTAAGACACTGATGTTACTATTTATAGGTTACAATGATTGATACATGTAACACACTGATGTTACTATTTATAGGTTACAATAGTTGATACATGTAATACACTGATGTTACTATTTATAGGTTACAAAAGTTGATACATGTAATATGCTTATGTTACTATTTATAGGTTACAATGATTGATACATGTAACACACTGATGTTACTATTTATAGGTTACAATAGTTGATACATGTAATACACTGATGTTACTATTTATAGGTTACAAAAGTTGATACATGTAATACGCTGATGTTACTATTTATAGGTTACAATGATTGATACATGTAACACACTGATGTTACTATTTATAGGTTACAATAGTTGATACATGTAATGCACTGATGTTACTATTTATAGGTTACAATAGTTGATACATTTAATACGCTGATCTTACTATTTATAGGTTACAATGGTTGGTACATGTAATACACTGATCTTACTATTTATAGGTTGCAATAGGTGACTATTTATAGGTTACAATGATTGAGACATGTAATACACTGATGTTACTATTTATAGGTTACAATAGTTGATACATTTAATACGCTGATGTTACTGTTTATAGGTTACAATGATTGAGACATGTAATACACTGATGTTACTATTTATAGGTTACAATAGTTGATACATTTAATACACTGATGTTACTATTTATAGGTTACAATAGTTGATACATGTAATACACTGATGTTACTGTTTATAGGTTACAATAGTTGACTATTTATAGGTTACAATGGTTGATACATGTAATACACTGATGTTACTATTTATAGGTTACAATGGTTGATACATGTAATACACTGATGTTACTGTTTATAGGTTACAATAGTTGACTATTTATAGGTTACAATGGTTGATACATGTAATACACTGATGTTACTATTTATAGGTTACAATGGTTGATACATGTAATACACTGATGTTACTGTTTATAGGTTACAATAGTTGATACATGTAATACACTGATGTTACTATTTATAGGTTACAATGGCTGGTACATGTAATACACTGATCTTACTATTTATAGGTTGCAATAGGTGACTATTTATAGGTTACAATGATTGAGACATGTAATACACTGATGTTACTATTTATAGGTTACAATAGTTGATACATGTAATACACTGATGTTACTATTTAAAGGTTACAATGGTTGGTACATGTGATACACTGATGTTACTGTTTATAGGTTACAATAGTTGATACATTTAATACGCTGATGTTACTATTTATAGGTTACAACTGGAGATACATGTAATACACTGATGTTACTATTTATAGGTTACAATAGTTGATACATGTAATACACTGATGTTACTGTTTATAGGTTACAATAGTTGATACATTTAATACGCTGATCTTACTATTTATAGGTTACAATGGTTGGTACATGTAATACACTGATCTTACTATTTATAGGTTGCAATAGGTGACTATTTATAGGTTACAATGATTGAGACATGTAATACACTGATGTTACTATTTATAGGTTACAATAGTTGATACATTTAATACACTGATGTTACTATTTATAGGTTACAATGATTAATACATGTAATACACTGATGTTACTATTTATAGGTTACAATAGTTGATACATTTAATACACTGATGTTACTATTTATAGGTAACAATAGTTGATACATGTAATACACTGATATTACTATTTATAGGTTACAATAGTTGATACATGTAATACACTGATGTTACTATTTATAGGTAACAATAGTTGATACATGTAATACACTGATGTTACTATCTATAGGTTACAATGGTTGATACATGTAATACACTGATGTTACTATTTATAGGTTACAATGGTTGGTACATGTAATACACTGATCTTACTATTTATAGGTTACAATGGTTGGTACATGTAATACACTGATCTTACTATTTATAGGTTACAATAGTTGATACATGTAATACACTGATCTTACTATTTATAGGTTGCAATAGGTGACTATTTATAGGTTACAATGATTGAGACATGTAATACACTGATGTTACTGTTTATAGGTTACAATAGTTGATACATGTAATACACTGATCTTACTATTTATAGGTTACAATAGTTGATACATGTAATACACTGATCTTACTATTTATAGGTTGCAATAGGTGACTATTTATAGGTTACAATGGTTGATACATGTAATACACTGATGTTACTATTTATAGGTTACAATGGTTGATACATGTAATACACTGATCTTACTATTTATAGGTTGCAATAGGTGACTATTTATAGGTTACAATGATTGAGACATGTAATACACTGATGTTACTATTTATAGGTTACAATGATTGAGACATGTAATACACTGATGTTACTGTGTATAGGTTACAATAGTTGATACATGTAATACACTGATGTTACTATTTAAAGGTTACAATGGTTGGTACATGTGATACACTGATGTTACTATTTATAGGTTACAACTGGAGATACATGTAATACACTGATTTTACTATTTAAAGGTTACAATAGTTGATACATTTAATACACTGATGTTACTATTTAAAGGTTACAATGGTTGGTACATGTGATACACAGTTGTTACTATTTATAGGTTACAATAGTTAATACATGTAATACACTGATGTTACTATTTATAGGTTACAACTGGAGATACATGTAATACACTGATTTTACTATTTATAGGTTACAATAGTTGATACATGTAATACACTGATGTTGTTATTTATAGGTTACAATAGTTGATACATGTAATACACTGATGTTACTATTTATAGGTTACAATGGTTGATATATGTAATACACTGATGTTACTATTTATAGGTTACAATGGTTGATACATGTAATACACTGATGTTACTATTTATAGGTTACAATGGTTGATACATGTAATACAATGATGTTACTATTTATAGGTTACAACCGGTGATACATGTTATTACATTGATGTTACTATTTATAGGTTATCTGCTGGGTAACTTGCCAGAGCCTAGACAGAACTCGATTTCAAAGGAGCATGTCTGTTCAGGTACACTTATATACCCTTAACTTTTTTTGTTAATGTTTAGTCTGTACTCTTAACTTTCATAACACTTGTTTATGTGCAGTGTGCACCATTATATTTCATAACTCTTATTCTAGTTTATGTACAGTGTGTACCATTAAAGAGGGTGTTGCAGAAACTCGCGATTATTCCCTATATATCGAGAAGGACATTTAAATACCCTCGTTATGTCTAAATATAGATACAGCTATGTAGAGGACTATGTTTACGGCGGGTATTTCCTGTTTGATACAGCAAAACATTTTCGTCATTTTGTACGAAAAAGGTTGGAACAACAAAAAGCACAATGGCTAAAGCAGCATTTTGAAAGATTTAAAACTGTAGACATTGAGCGAAAATATTTTTCATGAAATAAAACTACTTCCCATAATCACACTGGTGGTGCTACATCCATGAAATTTCATTTGTTTCAAATTAAATCTAGGCTATCTAAGAGACCAGAATTATTCAAAATTGGAATATCTACAGAAAGAAACAAATTTATTAAACAATACAGTAACTTTATTTTCCAAGACAAAACGAAAGTAAAGTATTAGTTTGAAGCCACAGAATATCATGGAAAACAATTTAGACCTGCATTTTTATTACAATGTAATATATATATAGTTATTACTCAATTAAATTTCTGACACACACACTCTCTCTCTCTCTTGATCTCTTTCAAAATGTATATATAATTTCATTGCACTACCATTACATATGGAAAAAAATAAGCAAAAAAAAAATATGCAAAAATGATCCATTCCAGGATTCGAACCCATTCTCTGGTAACAGTACTAGTTGAAAGCCCACCAGCATATCCACTAGACCATTTCGGAGACAATGGTTTTCAAGTGTTATTTAATATACATATTGTGCATTTTGTTTGGAGAATAATTTTTATTCAATTTTTGCGTTTTTCAAAAATGTGCCTCTTTGAAACAAAAATCGGAAATGGCAGTTTTGAAGAAAATTCCTGCTTCTTTTTGTACATATCAAAATTATTTTGTTTCAAGGAGGCACTTTTTCAGAACAATTGGGATTCCCTATTTAAAAAAAGAAAAATCTGATATATTTTGGCGTGAGACTAATTTTCACATCCTTTAATGGCAAATTGGAAGTCAATACGCAGCTTCCAAATATTGTTTCTTGTTGTGCTTTATACATTGTTGCAATTTAAAAAAATTAATATGAGTTTCTGCAACATAAAAATTCTTCTTTTAATCTGCTACACATTTAGGGAAAATAACAAAAGAACTGCAACACCCTCTTTCAATCACAAAACTAGTTTATGATCAGTTTGTACCATTTACTTTCATAACATACACTAGTTTAGCAATTAAGTCTCTGCTACCTTAAAAGTAAACTTTGTATAAATGATATTTTTTGATTTGATTTTACAGATATTAGGAATGATTTTGTTACTATTCTCTATTACAGCTCTGATTATGTTACTGAAGGACCAGACGCCTGCTGTGCGATGCAGAGCCGCAGAAGCCATGAGTCTTTTGTACAACTATTAGACTTTCTGTTATATTCCTGCTAGCTACCAGCTTAGAACATTTAGATAGAATAGCAAAATCTCAGTGATCATATCACAGTGTCCACAAGACTTAAACAGCAAAATGCTTCTTTGAACTTTAACTATTTGAAAATTGTATGATTCCTTCATAGAAGAATCAATCTCAGTGAGAAAGCTTTATAAACCATTCCTTCAGCGAGGATTGTGTATAAACTGTGATAAAAGAAATCCAGCATTTAAAACAGAACCAGCTCCTGTTATATAGGGATAGATGTTTGAAGGCTCTACTGGTGCGGTTTATTATTTTATTTATGTATGATAATTCAAAGAAATAAGTTGATTGCTATTAGTGATGTGTACATTGATGGTTTAAAACTCGTCGTAACATTCCTATTGTGTACACTATTTTTGTGCACATAATTACGTGCATTATTATTACTATAGGGAAAATGTGTTGGGCTTTTTGTGCAATATACCATTGTTTCATTTAATATCTATCATTATCCTTGTTATTTTTTGAATGAATGTTAACAGATGTTATGAATTCTAAGATTTATGTATTAATTTATGTTACCAATTTTATTCAAGTTGTATCCTTTTTGTTTTGTTTTTTTTGAGGGGGGGGGGGGGGGGGGCATTGATAGCAAATCAAAACTTCTATGATTAAGTCTTCCTCATCCATGCAAATAGAGTTGTGAGATATCTGAACTGTCTGAAGCATGATTGCAATTTAAATCTAAATACTATAAACCAACTTTTATTCACGTCATCTTTTATTTGCAATTTGTCAGTTTGAATCTGCAATGATTAATTTTTGCGACTGAGGAACCATTCTCTACTAAAACAAAGCAAAATAAATGCTTCACAGTGATTAGTATTGGCAAGTTAAGTAGGTCGAAAAACTTGCGGATATTTCTCGCACATGAATAAAAGTTGGTTCATAGTGCAGTTTGAAATGGATGGAAATGATTGTGTATTAAATTATTTTGTAAATCGCTATTCAGTAAATTGTGAATTATTTCTTTAAGCCAATAAGCCAATGACCTTATATATATGATTTGATAAATGTTAATGCATATATTAAAGTTTTAAAAAAGGAACAAAAAATCCTTCATAATATTATAAATTGTGTACAGTGCCACTTCAGGGTCTTACAATTATATATACATTGTACAAGTATATCTGTTCCTTAAAAAAAAAATTATATCGCTGTTAATATTGTGCATGAATAGCGCAATTTAAAAAAATGATAACATTGTGTTTAAATAACACAATTAAAAAGTGAGGGGCAATAACATTTTGTTTTTTATTATTATGTTAGCTGCAGAACTGTAGCGTTATGGTTTTATATTGTTACAGCAGTCTTTGACCATAGCGCGACAGATCCCATAATGAAAAAAAATGTGCAATTTATGGCGCAAGATTTTCTGCACACTCTTGGTGAGAATTTGTCCACTTTTCGGCATTGATATTACTTACAAAAATGTTTTCTTGTTTCATCAACTTTTTTGTCCATAGCTTAAAATATATTTGAAACAATAATACAGTAATCTGTTTTTCTACAAATCAAAATGAAGAACTTAAGAACAATACTGTGTACACTTCAAATGAAAGATGCAAAATAACTTTCAACAGTGACCACTGTTACTTGGGCAGTTTTGACAATTAATGTACTGTTGAGATAAAGAATTTTCTCGTATGAAATTCAATCAATAGAAAAATTAAAAATAGAAGAAATTTGGTTTCATTCTGTACCACTGTTACTTGGGCGGTTTTGACAATTAATGTACTCTTGAGACTAAAAATTTTCTCATATGGAATTCAATAGATAAAAAAATTAAAAATTGAAGAAATTTGGTTTCATTCTGTATACAAAAATATGTATCATAGAATTTTTTAATATGTAATATAAAAATCCATTTACATAATCTTTTACCAAGTTTATTATTGAAAGAAAATTATTAGGTCAATAATCACTGTCTATCACATCGAAATGTCAAGAAAGGTTAATAGCCGAATAATGAAAAAAACTACAGAGAACAATAATGGTGTATTGTATAGTGACTACAAATGGTATGGAGCGATACTAAACAGCTGTATCATGACAATATAATGAACTAACAAAAAAAAAAAAAAAATAAATAAATAACATGGTCTACTAGCTTGTGATGAGGCCTGTTAATTACTTCTCTATACTGTAATTAGGTTTAGGTATATTTTTAGGTAACTAACCTGATTCCTTTGTAAAGGAGAAACTTCAGGAGTACCATGCATAAATATATTCAAGAAGTGGTGTTAATCTGGAAATCCCTTGATTTTACCAAAATCAGCAACATAAAACTTACGACTTTTCAACAACATAAAGCTTACGTTTTTTCAACTTTATATCGATCTAAATTTTAATTTACACTACCTGGCCATGGGTATATAGGAAAAAAATCTTCTCTGGCAGGAACAGCAATGCCATTCTCAGTCATAAATTGATACTGAGGCATCCTCAGGTAGTGTAGATTAAAATTTGTTTAAATCATGGCCCCTTAGGGTTGTGTGGGTCACAATTGAAAAAAAATTACATAGAAATATATGGTAAGAAACCTTCAAAAATCTTCTTCTCAAGAACACTACAGCAATGTCATGATTAATCATTAATCGGAATATAACATAAATGTAACATATGGAGAAAATTTTATTCTCTAGATGCTTATACATGGAATTTTGTTCGAATCATGTAAGGTTCAAGATCAATAAACCATAAAACAAAATCATAATAGGCGCTCAAAAGCTAAGCCACGATTGGTCATATTGGACCACATGAAAATATTCAAATTTGTTAAGAAAATCATCCTCTTGAGGTGGGATCAGGTGCCTTTTACACATTAGGAGGTTAGTGAACATCTCCTCGATAAGTCACATTGATATGGAAGCATCCTCAGGTAGTGTAGACCCAGTTTTTATCTAAATCCCCTGGTAGTGAGGTGGGCTACAATGGAAGTTTACTTGTTATGGCATACAGCAAGGCATTGGTTTGTCATAATGATATTGATTTGCAAGCATCCTGAAGTAATGTAAATTTAAGTTTGTTCGATCCGGTCAACACTTAAGTGATCAATTCAGGGTATAAATAAATGTAACATATGACTAACAATTATAAAACAATATAGGAAAGAGCGGCCTCTTAGAGGTGGGATCAGGTGCCATGGAGGAGTTTGACCGGTCACACACGCTGTGTGCTCCTTGTTATAAATTGTATTTGTATAAATAATGACTAACAATTAGGTCAGCAGTCAAGATTTGACTCAATGATAAATTGTATTTGCTGACAAGGTCATTGTATCCACCATAGAACTTACGAAATGTTGACTTTAAACGGTACTGCTGATATTCTTGTTTCATCAACTTGTTTGTCAATAATTTACCTTGTTTTAGAAATTGTACATACGTAGAGCATGCTCTTGCGTATCGAATCAAATGAGATATATAAACTCCGTATGCAGGTGATGAAGGTATATTGCTGCATATTGAGTAAGGGAGGTCGGCAATTGAAAAGTTTAAGTCATCACGTTTATGATAGAGCTTGGTTGCTAGATTACAATTAACGTCTTTTTCAAGTAAAATATCCAAATATAAAACAGATGTGTCAGATTTTGTTATATCTTTTATCTCAAGTTCACCAGGATATATCTATCGACTTGAAAGGAATTTACCATTGTTAATTGACAATACGTTGTCGATACATCTAAATGTCGAGTTGAAGGCCACAACAAGTGTTCTCTTCTTTTCACGCATAAGAAATTCTGCTTCATGTGAATACAAAAATAGGTCTGCAAATAACGGGGTGCAATTGGTTCCCATGGGAATTCCAATTGATTGTTGTCTCCAAAAAACATTATAGATATTGTCAATCAGAAACTCAAGTATCTTTTTGATGTCAACTTCAGAGTACATATTCATATTTTTCATATAGAAAAATATTATTCATATTTTTAAAAATGAACTTATAAATAAAGGATAATTGTCTATTAAAATGTATAAAAGTCAAAATAAACAAGATGTGTTTGTAAAACACTGATGCCCCCGTATGACAGAAAAGCGAAGATTAAACTTTCTTAAATGCAAATTAAATATGTTGGTACCCAAAGTAAGGTTTTCTCATAAGAAATGCAAGTGTGAATTATGAAAGCCCTAGCTAGCACCACCTATTCAAAAGTTATGGCCAAGGATAAGTTTTTGAAAGGTAGGTCAAACTCCAGGGTCAAGGTCAAGTCAAAGTTGTTGGTTTCTAAAGAAAAATCTTGGTCACAAGGATTACATAAGTGAAGTATGAAAGCCCTAGCCCTAACTGTTCAAAAGTTATGGTCAATGTTAAAGTTTTTAAAAAGTAGGTCAAACTCCAAGGTCAAAGGGTCAAAGTTCTTGGTATTCAATGAAAGGTCTTTTCACAAGGATTAAATATGTGAAGTATGAAAGTCATAGCCCCAACCCTTCAAAAATTATGGTCAAGGTTTGTTTTAACTTGTTTTAAGGTCAAACTCCAAGGGGCACAATGAAAAGTCTTTTCATAAGGATTACATAATTATGTAAAGTATGAAAGCCCTAGCCCTTACCGTTCAGGAGTTACAGCCAAAGTTAAAGTTTGGAATTTTTGTGTAAACGTGTGTGAAACTCCAAGGTCAATAAGTCAAATTTGGTGGTAGCAAAAGAAAGGTCTTGTCACAAGGAATACACCTGTGAAATATGAAAGTCATAATAGTTCCACCAAATCAAACGTTATGGACAAGGTTAAAGTTTTTTTTCGGACTACAGACAGATAATAAAAAGACAGACTGCCGGACGGACAAGACAAAGGATAAACCCCCGAATCTTCGATTACAGGGGCATAAAAAATAACCTTTGGGTAAATTGGGTAGAGCAAGTGATAAAGCTTAACGCAATGGTACTTAAGGACAGATGATACCAAAAAAAAATGGATGCCTGGATTAGTATATATTTTTTGGTCTTATTTCATTGCAAATGATGCAAATAATAAATTTCTAGAATATAAAGAAACTGTGAACCTTCTATGATGTTCAAATTCTGCCTGTCTGAAACCATCCTTAATAATCTATACAAATATTTTTCACTTCAAATCCCATTTTTGTGAAAATTTGAATAAAACATTAAAAACTACCCGGTGAAACTTATTCATTTCACTCATTAAAACATGACTGAAGTTGCTATTTCCAATTTTTTTGACAACAGTTTGTATCATCTGTCCTTAGTCGTTTGAGCTTTAGTCAAAGGAAGAAGCTGGACTTTTGGTCACGGGTTTGAATCCCACTGAGGAACGTGAAGACCGATCCTTCGGATGAGACTACGGTCCCGTGACCCGTGGCACGAAAGATCATTGTATTTATATCGTTTTTAACGTTTTAATCACAGCACTTGTTTCGTACACAGGGGAAGGGATGTCCTGTATACGAAACAAGTGCCTGTGGTTATAATGAACTGGTTTCAACAAACCTTGGCATAAGTATTCTTGGATGAATTTTTATGTAAGATAAGGACATCCTTCCAATGAGACATATATATTTCATTTCAATGCACATTTATTGATAAGTTTTAACACCGGTCTTGCTTTCCATGGAGTCAAACGTGTGGCGCAGTGGTAAGATCGGTTGATCTAGAGTCAGAGAAAGCGGTTGATCCTTACGATACGGGTTTGAATCCCCCCTGTGGAATGTGGATACCGGTTGTACAGATGAAAGTGTATAAATCGCGGTCCAGTTCGCAGAAGGTGCTAGTATCTTACTGCTCAAAGGCTGTGCCGAGAACAGGATTTAATTTGCAGCCCTCCACTGGATAGTTATGTCGTCTCATTCCCCGGCAATTTGATTAGATCCGACTCACAAAAAAAATTGACCTGTTAAGAAAAATTAAAGCAACATTAAGGCCCGTAGACTCAATATGAGTGAAAATTTCTCGTCGTTATACATACAGACAGACGTGCAAACAAAATTTCCATGGATTTTTTTCTAATTATTTTTACGCTAATACATGTACTTGTAAGCAAATAAAAAAATTCTATAACATCTTTTATGTTGTTACAGTATATATACTAATACTAGTATTGCAGGCGACAAATGCATTCCTTGGGTCTATGTTTGTTGAACAAGTATTAATCTGCAAAAGTCTTAAGGAAATCAAAATGCCATGAGACTAAAACATTAAAGGTAGCTATGGCACGCCAAATTCACAAAATGAGCTAAACCTAGTTTCACAATTGATAAAATTAAAGCGAACCCCCCCATTTGCAAAAAAGAAAGAGAAACAAGAAAGTTCCAATTTTTTTGCTGTTTTTACTATAGAAAATGTAACTATTAAGGTGAAAGGCTAATGTTGTAATATATAAAGAAATTGGGTTGTAAAAACAAAATAAAACCCCATCCCTAAATACAAAATAGGATTTTCAGGTTATATTTTCCTTTCTTTTTCAAAAAATTTCTGGTAATGTATAGACTTTTTCCCAGTGCAAAAAACAATACCCCACCCTGAATTTCCTATATGGTGTACAACGTTTTTTTGTTTTCGCATAACCCCCCTTTTGATTATTTTTTCTGGATCCGCGCCTGAGGTTTATCGACTGTAAACTGTAGTTTACATACCGTAAACTATAGTTAACTTGTAAGCAAATAAAAAAAATCTGTATAACATCTTTTTGTTGATAAACATAGATTCACGTTTGTATATATACAATAAAATATAGTTAGTATTGCATATTTATCAGATCGTTAACTATAGTTAACGGTTTGTAAACTATAGTTTACAAATGCTGTATTCCTAATCTATGTTTTGCAATCGCAAATGATTGTTTTCGGTGTTAACAAGTTTACGGTTGTGAAACATAGATTATCGAGTTAACTATGGTTTACAGATGTAAAATATAGATTAACGTTGTTAATCAAAATGCCATGAGACTAAAACATTAAAGGTAGCTCTAAACACTACTCACTGACTCGTCATTTACGGGGAAAAAACAAACAAAACAAAAAACAACAAACAGAAAAAACAAACAAACACAAGCAGTTTTTCAAATAAGATTTCTTATTTTTCTAATCGACTTAAATTTGAATCAAACAACTATTGACTAAATGCCTGCTTATAGTGATCTTCTAGTAGACTGTATATTTAAACATTTTACTGAAAACAAATCAAATCGTTACGATGTACTTTTCAATGAAAGTGCTAAAAGTACAAAGTATTTATCATTTTGAAGTCCACGAGTTGCTATACCACACCCCCTAAAGCGAGTGACAGGCTTGGTATGACTGTTGTCTAGTCCATACGCCTAGTTAATGCCCTCAAGTGCACTGTTAATGTACTGTGAAAAACTTAAAATAGTTTCATAATTCGAATGTGTTCTTGAAAGAAAAAAAAACAAATATTCACGAAATTCGATTGAAAACAATATTTATAAAATTTTCAGCGCTTTTAAAATATCTGTTCTAAAAAGAAACTATACTGCAGACTTTTTTTCATGAACCACAAAGTACATAATTTATATATTGCTGGCGTTTTCTTTAAAAAGTATACTTTACCAAATCGTGTTTTTTTTTTCTTAAATAATTTTTCTAGTAGAAAATCGTCATCATAAAAAAAAAGGATTTTTATTCATAAAAATAATGTTCTAGTTGAGTCAATTACTAGTTATAAATATAAAGAATTTTTTGGAATCAACATCAGCATGAAATTTTACGATGTACATGTATAATATAATTCTTATAGTTAGAAATAGCCATAGAAAGAGATTTATAAAAATGAGCTGTTAGAAATATTCCCTTTAAATTTGACAATTAGGGGGGTTTCCGGAAAATGTATCTGCATGTTTTATTTGTAATAATATAGCATTATAGAATTACTTATGTAAAAGATGCATTCAAATGACATGTTCTAACAGTATTATTATTTATCGTATGATAATTTGTTCATTACGATATGACTCGTCTCAATATCTGTCATATTTTTGCTATCAGTGTCATAAACTGCATTTCACGACGGACAGACATAATGTGAACTTTCCGTTGCTAACAAATAAATCAATTAAACCCTGGTCTATAGGTAAACGTGAGGGAGTAGCTAAGTTTTATGACATTTTCCAAAGACACGGACTAAATTTTCTGAAAAACATTTGCAACGATTTTTGTAAACGTGCCATCTGTGCATTTGTTTCACGAGTACCATGTTTTTACGGAAATATTTACATTCAAATTGCTAATATGTTTTTTGCATTAATTTGAAGTTTAGGCGATCATATAAATAAAGGGGTCTTGGACAGCACAAATCATAACAAATCAAATCCCAACATGATGCGTTTAGTAATCAGCCTCGTGATACTGGTAGCGTACTCACAATGTGGAGTCATACGTAAGTTAGAGTTCTCTTATAAAAGAAATTTAAAAAAATAAACTTTACGGAGTCAATTAAATGATTTCATAAAATTGTTAACGAACTGGCCTTCAAATAACAATGGTTGAATTATTAGAATGTGTATATATGTTAACCTGTTCTTGTTTGTGTTTTAGATTCAGGCGGGCAGACGACAGGAGAAGAATGGGCGACAGAGAAAGGTTCCTCCTCCAAGGCCTCGGCAGCCGAACACACAGCGTGGGAGAGGTCCAGTGGTAAGAAGTGGGCAGGTGAAAGTGGAGGCGGTCAGCAGTGGGAAAGTTCCTCAGGGGGTGCTCAGGGATCACAGGCGGGCTTTAATGAGGAGTGGTCTAGTGGGTCACAGGGAGCGTCACGTCAGCAATCCGGGGGAAGCTGGTCTAAAGGATCTCAGTCAGGATCAAAGAGAAGCTGGAGCAAAAAGTGGGGCAGCTCATCCGGGGGTTCTGAACAGTCCGGAGGAAGCTGGTCTCTCGGAGCACAGGGAGGAAAAGCATGGAGAAAGGAGTGGGGAACTAAGCCCGGCTCTAACAAATTCTGGAGCACGGAGTGGGGCTCAACCTCAGGTGGTGCCAATGGAGCTGGACGAAGCCAAGGGTCACAACAATGGAGCGAGGGGTCAAGAGGGGGATCCAGTCAGTCAGGAGGACAATGGAGCGAGAGTTCACAGGGAGGATCACAAGGGCAGTGGAGTTCTGGGGGATCACAACAGTCTGGCGGATCCCAGTGGACAGAGGGCTCTGAAGGAGGCTCTGGGGGAGCAGTACAATCCGGGGGTCAGTTGGAGAGAACGGAAGGAGGTTCTGACGATAGATCTGATGGGCATTTTGGAGTAGAACAGTCTCAAAGCTCAAGTGGATCATCCGGATCTGCTGGATCCAGTGGTTTTGGTTCACAGTTTGCTGAATCCCAAAGTGGTTCTGGGGCTTCCACCAATGGATTTGGCGGAAGTCAGAGTGCATCATCAAGTGGATCCAGGGCGGGGTCTAGCGGATTTGGGTCCAATTTTGCTGAATCCCAAAGTGGTGCCGGAGCTTCAACCAATGGATTTGGCGGAAGTCAAAGTGCTTCCTCAAGTGGGTCTAGGGCGGGGTCTAGTGGATTCGGGTCCAATTTTGCTGAATCACAAAGCGGCTCTGGAGCTTCATCCGATGGATTTGGCGGAAGTCGAAGTTCATCGTCAAGTGGGTCCAGGGCTGGGTCTAGTGGATTCGGGTCCAATTTTGCCGAATCCCAAAGCGGTGCATCTGCCCAATCAGGTCATGGAGGAAGTCAAAGTCACGCCTCAAGCGGCGCCAGTGCAGGTTCCCATGGACATGGATCTAGTTTTTCCGAGTCTCGCAGTGATGCATCAGCGAGCTTAGGAAATGGCGGAAGTCACAGCCAGGCGTCCAGTAGTTCTCACGCGTCTTCCAGTAGTGACGGTGGTTCTGCCGGCGCCTCCAGCGGAGCTTCTGCGAGCGCCAAAGGAGGAAAACATTTTGGATTTAAAGGATTTAGACATGGTGGCGGAGATTAGGAATGGTCAGTATTTCTATATCAAAAAAATTCAAATGCAGCGAATATTAAAAATTTAAGAATAGTTGTTCACAAATATAATTTTTTCTTTTTTAGCACACAGTATAATTTTATGGAATGTAGACTTTAAACGAGGTTGTTTCTATGTCTTTATCATCACCTTGTTTGAGAAAAATTAATTCTAAGACTTTCAAAACGTTTTTTTTTCTTTTCAGATTGAACGGCTGCATCATCAACATCAAAAAATCCATATCAATAATTATTTATTTATTCCAATAATAAAATTACACAAATTATTTTTTGTTCTTTGTGTTTTTAGGGACATGCGCAATGTACTTAACCAACTGATAGTTTTTCAAGATATTCCAAAATTAAGATTATAGTGCAATCAGATGTCCATAGACAAAAAAGAAGCATGCATTACCAGGGTTTTTTGAGAGATATCAATTGATAAAAATTCTTGGATGATTCAAAGAAAAATATATAAAAAATACTAAACATATATTCAAGATGCTTCTTTTATAAAAAATTCTTTTAGAAGAAGTTGACAACATCATATATAGACATTAAAATATAGCACACAGTTCCTTCAAGAATTGGAACTCTTCAACTTCATGAGAAAAGATTAAAAAGTTCAAACTACGTCCTTAAGGTTTTTGTCTTCTCGAAGCCCCCCCCCCCCCCTCCAAAAAAAAAATTCGTTCTTTCGAAAGTCTACCGCGAAAAGTCTCAGAAAAAAAAAACTACACATATTACTTTTAAGATTTATTGTAAACAGATAATAATTGATATATCATAAAATTGATACAGAACCATAAAGGCAAAGAAAATACAAAGATGAAATGCTGATAAAGAGAATAAAGGGACGGTTATATAGATATATAGCTGAAATCTGTACATTGTATTTGTTCATTAACAACATATGAATTCAACAAAAACATAACAACTAAATGAGACAGTACTTAAGGTACGTGACATATCAAAATAACAAACAAAATAACACTGATAAAGCACTGTCTGCTTTGTTACAAAACTGGAACCATTAATTGCCCGGTAAAACTTACATATATAGTGATTCTACACGAATAAGCGCTACAGTTCTGTTTTTATTTCTATTTACAAATAAATTAAGAAAGCACCGCCATAACCACAAAAACTACAGAAATAGTTGTAAAATGCAAATAACTCATTATGATTTCTTCTCATATTCATTAATATCTATGCAGTGATATATATTGTATAATATCGCCTCCAAATCTACACTTATCATGGTCCTAATAGCCGTTGTATTTTATAGGAGGAAAATGGTTGAACCTTGTTGGTTCCTCATAATTTGGAGGATTATAAAGTCCCCATTTTGGGGGAGGTACCTCCATGGGGTAGGGTTTGGGGTAACTAAACTGACCCAGGTAATGCTTGTTGTGAGGCATTGACCTTTGTACATCCTTCATCATGACGTCATTTTCGCGCGGTATGAAGTCATCGTGGACTCGGCTTGTTGGTTTAGATGGTCGTTCATAGTGCCAGTTGATGCATTTGTAGTCACCTGAAAAAAAAAGAATATTTGAAAAGCTTATAATTAGTATCCATAAGGAAAAATACCACGCCTGAATACAATCATCTGTTTGTCAGAGGATTATTTTGACTGGTGTATAAAGGAATGTGGACATTTAAATCAACGCTTCTTGGTGAATGAACACGAAAAAAACGCGAACTTTAATACAGTAAGTTACAGGAATTACATACATGTACGTCACTTGAGAGATCGATCTGTATATTACTGTTCAATCATTTAAAAATTTCCGTTTAAGTTCGCAAATATTTCCCATTTGCATTTATATAGATCAATGACAAAGAGTGGTGTGGCATATATAAATCATTTTATTATTTCAGTTCTATTTATGAATTACTTCGTCTGATTGTGTCGCGCTCTCTGTTGTACCAGTCAGTGTGTGTAGAAGTCGATCTGTTGGCGTACCAGTCCGGGTGTTCACGACCCCATTTTCTCCATCCAGCCTTATTTTCAAGAAAAAAAATTATTCCAAATTCGTGAAAACGTCATACATTAACTAATCTAGAATCCTTGCATCTGTCTGGATATTTGAATGTTCCTTTTGATTGAAAATATTACTAAAACATATTTATTATATTTTGTTTTGTAATAAGAAATACAATTTTATGCAAGAGTTAAAAACCATGTAATTCAAAATAAAGACAATTAAATAAAAAAAAAGAGAGCACAGACCTGTCGAACATCTGGATGACTTGAATGGTATATTTTCCATTCATGTAATTTGGGCTGCCTAAAAATAAAAGTTAAGTTTAAAACAATTTAAAACACGATAGTTAGAAGAGCTTGGTTACTTTTGTTCATACGAACCATTCTTTCGGTAATTTGGCAGGCGTTGACAGGAACTGCATAGAGGCAGCCATGATTCCTTAAAGTTTGAGAGAGTGCCACTTATGTTGTAACTAATTTAAAGTCGGGACACTTAAATAAGTTTTTAGTGTTAAAAATGAAGTTAGATAAAAATCCTTTCAATCAGAAAGAGAGGATTTACCATAAAACGAAGCGATAAGCATACATGTACGATAGATTTATGTTTGGCATAAATGACATTGATATAAGCGATATCGATTTTTGGGGCCCTCTCCATAGGAACGTTTACTAACTAACTACTTAGTAACACAGCAAGACACCTATAACAATAAAAATAAATCTATGAGATTTAAACTGTTTCCACTCTATAAGATATATCTGTATGCTTTTTATAAGTAATGTACATTTTCTAAGTATTTTAAATGACATTGCACTGCATATTTTAATTTACTTTAAATTCCGCCTTGTTTACAATTGTAATCTTAAGCGGGCCTGAATACACACACTTAGGCAGACCTTTTAACAGACAACACAGAAATATGGCGATGGCAGACACGCTGTTCTTTAATGGGCGACAAGATCGCTATCCTTATCATGTCAACTACCCCCCAACTGTGCCGAGGTACCCCAGCTCTCAGGAAATGTTTAGGTGAGGAGAGGGGGGGGGGGTGCAATCATATATCTACTACATTATTATAATCAGAAAAGTTTTATAGTATGTCGTAGATACTGTGTGTATTTCCAAAATAATTAACCTTGGGAGTGCCTATAATTGATGAATATGACATTTGTTTGAGATGGACCTCCATAAGAAAGATTCTGGATCCACTTATGTTAACATACTTCACCAGAATGATCAACCTTTAGAGAAATCAAAAGTGAGAGGGGCAAGCAGCGTCAAAATGCTACAGCAGAAGACTATTCTCCGATAGTGTCCTCGAGCTTCAGCACTAGGCTTCATGTTTTATTTTGCTGCGTTTTGTCTCATAATTTTTTTTGGTGGTGCAATAGCAAATTTTGCGTCATTTTATTATGACGTCACAATCAAAAGCTTTGACTTGTTTTCCATTAGCCAATCAAACTGAGTTTTACAAAGCAATCGTATTTGTTTGGATTAGATTGTGACGTCAAATAATTGTTTCGAAAAAGCATTCTTATCACTACTGTACACAACAAAAAATTATGTTAAATCTAATGGTCTTGAAGTATCCTGTACTAAGGTATATTTGTTTGCAATTTCTGATTTATATGATATATACATGTAGGCGATAAATTTGTTCTTTGTTACATTAATATTTTTTTAATTTTGAGATTGATATTTTTTAGGCGGGAATCTCCAGACAAATATACTAAAGTAGTGGGAAGAATAGCTCACCAGGAGTTCAATACAAAAATCGCCGAAAAATCGTCCCACCAGGTAAACAAACCTGATTTTGATCATTTTACAGTAAAGTAAACTTTTTTTGCCTTTTGATTTTTTTTTTTTTTTTGCCAGAAATGTTTATTACTGAATGTTTTTTCATTCCAAGAACAATTGAAATGAAATACCAGAATTTTCTTTAAACCTTTTTAATATTTTAATATCGTGTTTTGTAGTCTTGGTATGACAAATGGTACGATTCCGGTACTCCCAAACTCCGCAGGGAAGAACTTCCTAAATTGGTGGACCGTCACGAACCCTGCAATCAACCGTGGCAATACACTATTGGCACCTCTGCTGTCCCAAAGTGGACAAAAGAGGGCAAGGATTGGCCAATATCTAAAGCGTACCTGAACCAAGGTAAACCCGCTACGGAAACCACGCGTGCGCGAGGCATCAACCGTCTGTCATTGCCGAAGGAAGAAAATCTTTACCCGTTCTCCAATTATATGACGTCACAGTACAGAAAACCTGTGTATTCTATATTTGGTCATCTACAAAAAGACAAAGTTTATGGAGTAACACACCAACACAACAGGCACGGAAATATGCCGTTTGAGGATTACTATTGAGTCGAGGACGGTGCAAAAATTATAGCATATTACTTAATATTACTTAGAATATAAATTTTCATTCTTAGACAATTTATTTGATATAATCTGTGTATTAATTGTCCACAAAACTGTAATACTTGTCTTAAAAGCCGTTCTTTACATTTTTTGTCGGAAATTTTTAAAATTCATGCTTATTTATTATGTTTAATGTATGATATGATTGTTGGGAAATGGGCTCAGAAATGTTATCTAATTTTATGTTATAATTTATAATTTTGTAAAAAATAAAGTAATTGTTATGAGGGGGTTTTGAACAGTTTTGATCAGTCTGATTAAAACCATATCTTCGCCTCAGGCTGCACCCCCTTTTGAAGACAAGTTTTTCTATAGGAAATGTGCATTGAAAGCTCCCACCCCCACTTTTTTGTTGCAGTATTATCAAATAAGGGTAATGCAGTGTTTGAGTAAAAAATTTAGTTCTAAAAGAAATTGGCCAGGGCCGTAACTAGGCTCAAATATTTAGTGAGGCAAAGGTGCTGGGCATTTAGTCCCACCAGTGATGGGAGTTTCAAGGGGGAGGGGGATTCCCAAAAGATTTAATCTTTTTTGTTGCAGTATTAGTCAAATAACATCGGGATTCGAATCCCACCACAGGATGTGGAGACTGGTCCTTCGGATGAGACCGTAAAATCCGAGGTCCTACATTTTATGTCACAGTAAGAGATGACACAAAAAAGTTCTCTCACTCTTCAATCATCTTCAATGACCCGGAAAGCCCAGTGCAGTCCTCCACCGGCAAGTAGTAGTGTCTCAATATGAATGAGAAAATCTTAGAAGGGATGTTAAACAATCAAGCAATTTACAAAACAAACGTTTCGAATTATATTTTACATGCGTTCTATGAACAATTTGGAGAAATTGAAACAAAAGTTGAAAATATTTATTTACTATGAAGATACATAATTTTATGTTTCATATTAGTTCAATGAAAAACTTTTCACTGTTTAGAAAACTGTAAAATTTTAGTTAGGCATTTGCCTCACTTGCCTCAATGGTAGTTACGGCCTTGTTGGCATGGAGAGATTTTATTTCCCCGGTGTCAACTAAGGATCGGCTTAATTCAACAGCTATGTCAGTTGAACTCCTGACAAATCTATTTCATTTTTTTTATACGGGCTAACTGCAGCGACTTCTTTCGGGAAATTAATAGCTCTCGATCAATTATAATTAACCTTCAGTGACAAAATGAATCATATAAATTGGGGTGTCAACTTTTCTCAGTTAACAACGTTTTCTATCAATTGATGAAATCTGACTTGTGCCCCTCAATGAGAAACAAAACCGTAGAATATCAAACTTCATTTGTAAGCGTCCACTAGTGGACCTAGGACCCTGGAATGTAAAAATATTTATGGTGCAGAATAATTGAACATTTGCAGTGAATTATGTAAAGAGAATAATTATGATGATATCAAAAAGATTTACTTTCTTTGAACGCCTAATATTTTTTCAAACAATATATCAGGCTATAGTACATGTAACAACGGTTTTAAAGGGGGAAAACTTCCCAAAAAATTCTTTAAAAAGGAAGAAAGAATAAATAAACTGTTCAGTTAAAAAAAATATTTAACGGGGTTTGTAGGGCGGTGGAGGTAGGACTGGTTAATTGAATTGGATCACATTTTCTATAACTTCTTGATACTCAGCTGTATTTTTACATTTTTCATTTTTAACTTATTTTTTATGACAATTGGACATATTTCAACCAATTTTGCCACTTTTAGATATCCCTTTGTGAAAAGAATTCAATGTTTTCAATGAGGGGTCATTCCCTCTCCAAAAAAGGGGGATTAAGAATTAGAAAAGAGTTAATGGTATCCTTTGATTAAAAAAAAAAATCAAGAATCATACATCGAGAAAGAAAAGAGGAAACTTATGTGAAAGCATCCTCAGCATATATAAATTCAGTTTTGTTCCAGTCGTGACCCACGGGGTTAGGATGGATCAACAATGGGTGATCAAAGTTTTACAAAGGCATATTGAAGAAAATATATAGATATAAATCTTTAGAAGTCTTCTTATGAAGAGCAGCAAAGCTTTGAAATCCTGTTTATATGGAAGCATCGTCGGGTTAAATTGAGAAGATTCAAGTTCGTTCAAATCGTGACTTTCCGAGGATCCACCTTAGCAAACAAAGATTTATTTGAGAATATATATGATAAAAAAAAAACAAAAACAAAAACAGAATTTCAATTTCCCAAATCATGCCCCCCCCCCCCCCCCCCATCCGGGAAAGAGAATGGAATTGCAACCCTGGATTCGAGCTTGTTTTAATCGGTATTTTGACTGTAAATCAAAAAAGAACACGACATAAAAATAATGTATCTGTTAATGTTCATGTATCTCGAATTACATACCTATTCATTAACTTTGGTAAACTATTCAAAAGAGCTAAAAACACAATTCTTTAGTAGACGAGAGAGAGAGAGAGAGAGAGAGAGAGAGAGAGAGCGTTTAATAAGATCGGGATCGACATTCGTTGAAACGTAAATATGGTGGAAGTGAATTCGTCAGGAGTATTTTGCGAATCAAATCAACATGGGTTTACCATGAAAAATTGAGATCTTTGTTGCCATTAAAAGAAATTGCATTTGTATAGATATGTAGATAAACATTGCATCATCGGATGAGGGATGTCGTTCTTCAGTAGAAGAAAGGGTAAGTGTTAAACACCCGGGGTCAGGCGTTATTGTGTTTTGGAGGCGTATCTCCCGATCTCAATTTATGATTTAAACTGATGAATGCGAAAAAAATGCGTAAATTCGTAATAAATATGTGCTAATATATAACATTAATGATAGTTTATGCTTTTATAATTGCGAAGTAGTTTCTCTGGTTTCAGTTTGATTTATTTTATTTTCAATTTTTCATATTTACTAATACTTGTAAATTGTGTAATTCAGATGATTTATACGGCGATCTTTCTAACTTTTCAGATAAGAAAAGTGATCAACAGAAGCCCACAGAAACATCTCTGAAAAGAAATAATTCTCAAAAAAGTACAAAGAGCCTTAGAAAAGTAGAACTAGTAAATGGAGAAATAAGTGATGGTAGGGTCATATAAGATGCCTTTAGAAAGCAGTAGGTCAATACAGGTATTGATGTTACCTATGTTGAAAGATGATGTATTTGTGCATTCTTTTTTTTTTTTTTAGAACGAGGAGGATCCTTTGAAGGGAGAAGTCGTATTGGGCCAATACAGCTTTGCGTTGAAGATGATGGAGATCTTGGTGAGTGGACATTAATCTGTTCATACATGTAGTTCTAGTGATTGTAGACCAGAGACTTAATTTAGGAAAAGCTTTAGCATGAGTCATCCAACTATCTACCTGCTTGTTCATCAGCAAATAATTTTTGGAAATGCTACACTTTCAATTAAAATATTATTTTTTAGAACACTTTGTATACAACAAATCAACTTTCTATACATGTTCATTTAATTTTATTTTTTGGATGCCATAGCCCATAGTATAATAGCATATCTGGCAAATAAAATACAAACATTTTGTACACACATAATAGTTTTGTACACACATAACATCATTAAGTATATTTATTCATGCATGTTTCATTTTGCTAGTTCTAAGTTCTTGGCATATTTTGGATATAGCTCTGACTTTGTTATGCAATTAATAAAATGTAAATGTTACATGCATTACACAACTATTTGTAAAAAAAAAAGTGTTTAATATGTACATGTATTATTTTTTTGTAAAGTTTTAGTGAATGATATTGATGAACTTCAAGTATTAATTTCAAAGCACACATGATTTGAATGATTTGTTGATTTAATGTCAAGGCAAAAAATGCAGTGGTTTTATAATTTATCATGTTGATTTAATGACTAGGAAATAAAATACTAATTTTTTAAAATAGTTTTATAATTTATCAAAATATCAGTATCCCCTGTATATCGACACTCCAAGCTTTCTAAAACCTTAACATCATTAAGTATATTTATTATTACATGGAAATTCTCTTGGCAAATTTTGACAAGAATGCCCTTTAAAAAAAATGTCCTGTTTTATTGAATTCCTAGAATCAAGGAAGGCCGGCCAGTACATTAAATTCTGGCTGGATGCGGAGAGTTTCCAGGCCTCCACCTGGAGTAGACTAAGGAGCCACTCCCTGAACTCTGCCAGGAGGTCAACATTATCCAGCAAACACTACCGCTCACCCTCTGACACAACAGCCAGTGTTAAACAGGGGACAGAGGATAAACTGGACACTGGAAGTATTGGTTCTAACCATACACTGACCGAGGAGAACTCAGCTGGGCTGGTGGAAAGTGAAAATCAAACCAATAGTGTGCCAACTAGGATCTCATATGACACAGGGCAGTCAAAGTCCAGACTGGATTTACCAGAGTCAGCAATGTTAGAAACTGTGATAAAATCCAAGCCGTCAAGTCTCCCAGCAACCCCTATAGACCTCGGAGTCAAGCACCTGCCGGGATCGTCCGGCCCCGACTGTGATACAAGAGAAAGCGTGGAATGTAGACTTAGTGATGCTGTATCTACCAGTGCAATCAAGAGAACTGAGAGTCTCAAAAGGACTAACTTACCAATGGAGGAACTTGCCGATAAACTCAAGAAAAGTACGAATTCAGCTGTCTATGGTTTTTGTAAATATTGTAAACTTTAGAACTTGCCCATAATTCTTATATAAAAAAAACAGAGGTAAACTTGATAAACATATGTATATGGACCAGTTAATGGAATTATCTCAATGGTTAAAAATAATATTCTCTCCATATGTACATTGTTTACATGTATGTAAAATATGTGAGTATATCTAACCGTTAGGCATTGCCAGGGATGCAGTGAGCATCTTCCAGAAATACCTTTCCCATGATGCCTCTAGTCCTGTCCAGATTACAGATGAACTCAGGAACAGATGCATGGGTCTGTGTTTCATTTATTGCTTCATCAGTATAACAATGATATATCTGAATCATCAGAGTAAACCTTGTTAATTAATCATTTTGCCAACAGTGTACATGCTTTATCTTTAATAAATGATGTTAATTATATCATTTTGCCAACAGTGTACATGTTTATCTATAATAAGTGATGTGATGTAAATGTTCAAATCTATTTATTCTGATTTCAGCCAAAATTTGCCGAGAGGATGGAGAGGTGGATCCGGCCTGTTTTGCAGACTGCCAGGAATTTGTTCTGAATGTCATGAAAATAGAGTAAGACTAATGAGTATAGGGATGTAATTATACAGAGATCATGTGTTGTTAATAGACAAAATGTTTAGATACTGGGATAGACATCCATGATAGATATTTCTACTGTATTTGATGTTGATTTTGAAAGTATTTCGTAAATATAACTTCCCCTGCATAATGATATGGGACTTTTTGTTTTTTAAATCCACTGGATTTTTTATTTTACACATGTAGTTGAAGCATTACTGTAGATCACTTTATTTTCGCGAGATAGTCATTGACTCTTGATGAGCGAGACAAAATTTTCACAAATAGTGGTTATTGCTCTATATAAGCTTAAGGAATGCTATTATATGCGAGAATTAAATTTTCGCGAGCACACTGTCTCGCGTAATTATGCGAAAATAAAGTTCTCGCGAATAAAAAGTGATTTACAGTATATCCGTTTCTTAAACTTTATAAAAAAAATTACCTTGTTGATAAAAAAGTACAGGCTTAATATTTTCACATTATTTATATATACTGGTACTTCTTTCAAATGACAAAAACAAATGTTTTGTTGTTGCAGTCATTTTCCTGATTTCTCCACAAGCGAATTTCTCTGCAAACACCAAGTTCATCTTCTTACCAATGGGCAGATCACTCTATCTGATATCTTGTACAATGATGGTGCAATGTTTTACTTTATGGAGGTATGTATGTATTTTTATAATTTTTCTCTCTCAGAGGTGTATCGCACTTGATGCTTGAATATAAAAGCAGTTCACGAGCTTTGGCAATATTTTGGTATAGTATATGAGTGTTCATGGTATGCATTTTGATATTTCAGTATTAAGATCTGAAAACACATTCTTCAATAATGTTAAAATTTTTCCAAGAACTTATAATGTAAATACTATTTCTACAAGTTTCATCACAAAATATAAAGGTGATGTTTGTTACATTTTGTAACATTGTTACCAAACGTGTGCAAGATTCAAGAGGTGGAAATGCTCGAATTAGTCCTAATGAAAATTTCTTGAATTATAATACATGTATTCATGTATCACGTTTATTTTATTGCAAATTTGAAAGCCAGATAAGGCGTCAAGCAATGATTGTAAGAAAAAAAAAAGAATTTTTTGTGTTTCTGTTGCCAAAAAAATAAATTCTCTGAGACTCACTGGAAACAAGTGTCATATCTTTTTTTCCATGTCACTCATCAAAATAATATCCAGATTTTTTTTATACCCAGGTGCTCTAGCAATAATTGTAAACCATACTTCACTTTTAATAGTGTTATTCCAAACATTTTTTATTAAAGTTAATTCATAAAAGTTAAACTGTTTTACAAGAAATATGGATTGTGTATGAGAAGGGGCATAACTCAATTTTCTATCTCATTTTGAAAAAAAATAGAAAATTGAGTTATTTTCCTTGAATGTGTCAATAATATTGATCAATGGTACAGTATTTTACCACAGTGCCATTAGAAACTAAACAATTTTTATCAAGAGTTTACTTTCCAAAAATTTGATTTCTATTGTTGCCGAAGTATAAATGCATGAAGGATATTTGATTTCATGATTGGAAAATTATTCTTTTATCTGGTCATGGGAAACCCTATTAGTAAATATTTTAGGTAAATGTATGTTTCAAAGAGTCACAAAGTAGGAATTCAAGGAATGTGTCATCAGACCTTTATATTATAATCTAAATTAATAACAATAATCACACAATTACAAATATTTAAAATATTTAATTGAATATTAAAATGGAAGAAGTCAGTACTACTGCATCATAAAACATGTATCAAATGATGTGCAATTAATGGCAATTGATATAGATGAATGATTGATTGATTGCTTGTTGTTTTAACATCCCTCTCAAGGATTTTTCGCTCATATATCGACACCACTTGCCATTGGAGATCTACAAGTTTTGTCCTTTACTCGGCACTCAGGGCCATTGAGCAGTGAATGGTCTTTTTCATGCTAGCACCTACTGCGACATGGGACCTCGGTTTATATGGTCTCATCCAAAGGACCGGTCTCCATGTCCCACAGCGGGATTTGAACTCGCTACGTAAGGATCAACTCCTTACTTTACAACTCTAGAGCAGATGCTCTAACCACTGCGGACGACAAGACTAATGTGTATGTAAGTTCTTACAATATTTCCCATGTTTTGACTTTGCAGTACATGGAACAGGAGGGTGGGTCTGAACTTCTCCAGTTCTGGTTGGCTGTGGACAATTTCCGGCAGCACCTCATGTCTTTTGAGGGCACCTACGATGGCATGCAGGCCCAGAGTGATGCCATGGTCCTGTACGACAAGTATGTAACTGATTGTTAACGGCTTCACCTGGGATATACACTAAAGAGTGCCCACTACGTACAAAGTGAAAACATTTTGTATATATTCACCTGTTCTCTCTGTGTTCCAGATATTTTTCTCTACAAGCTTCCCACCCCCTTGGATTTGATGATAAAACTCGATTTGAAGTGGAAGGGAACATTTGTCGAGAGGAAGGCCCTCTGCCAGATTGTTTTGCCAAAACCCAGCACATTGTTTACCGCACAATGGAAAAGGTGTGTTGATAGCATTCCAAAATGTATTAGGGGGTACTGAGGTAAAATAAAGAATAGTGTCATTGCAAATATTCAGACAAAAGGAAAGCATAGTTTAAACACATGTTGTTGTTTGAAGTAATCTCCTTATTGATTTCTTTCAGTCCTTTTTCCCAAGTTTTTTACAAAGTGAGATTTACTACAAATATTTATCGGAGCTAGTCAGCACAGTAACCATAGCAACAGATTTACCAAAACAAACCAGACACAAAAGACAAGGTAAACAACATTGTTCTTGTGCAATGTGTCATCATTTTTATTTATAGCTCACTGCATGATAAGGTATAACACATTCTGATCCTTGATTACAGACAGTGATGCCATGTCCGTACACAGTGGACAGAGTGTGGGGAGTGAGAGCATTAAGAACACACTTTTAGCAATGGACACCAGTCACCTACGCAAGTCTGTCTCCCCCCTCCAGGAAACAGACATGAACGTCGACCCTCGGCTACTTAATCCAGAGCTACTTTGGAAAAGACCAAGTCCAGGGTAAAAATTATATCTTTTAGTGTTCTGTAAAAGTGGAAAAATTCTGCTTATTTGATATACATGTATAATTTGTCAATCCTTGAAAGCGGTTGTTTTATAAAAAATGTTTTTGTTTATTTCAGGATGTCAATGGGTAAAGTGGATGAACTTGGTAGATTTATGTCTGAATTAGATCCCCAGCCAGAAATTGATAAAGCCAAAGGTAGGGATATATGTTTTTAAACACCTAAATGTATAGATAATGATTACAATTTACAGATATTTGTCTTTATATGAGAGTTTGAGCTTATTTTGAATGGTTTTTATAGAAATAGAATTGATATAGATGTAAGAATTATTGAAATTCAACACTGAATATTTAGTGATTACATTATATAAAACTTCATAACTTCAAATAAATGCATTACTTGAACAAAAGTATATCCATGTTTTACAAATATAATGATAATGATTTTACAGGCAACTCAGGATTTTTCAAGAAAAAACAAGGGAAGGACAAGGTGAGTTTTCAAAGTTTAGGGAAAGAACACATTCTTTGGGCCAAAAATCACACAAGTGATTAAAAAAAAATGAAAGACAGCATATACTAAAACTGATTTTTGCCAAAGGAAGGGAAAAATATTTTCTCAAAGTAATCTTGCTAGTTTGTATATGCAGTTTGGTATAAATATATTTAAGCACAAAATCTAAAATTCCTTAAAATCTAAATACAGTAGAAAAGTAGGGTATCATCTGTCAGTATTAGGCAGGACTTGGGCCAGGTGGAAAGGACATGAATTTACAGGTTGGATAAATGGGGAATCCAGTTACCTTTACATGTATATGTATATACTGTAGATTCCTTATTAGCTCTACTGGTCAGAGACCAGAAGAGCTTATGCGATAGTAATGCATCCAGCGTCCGTCCGTATGTCTGTCTGTCTGTCTCTGTCTGTAAACAATTTTTCAAAATGCTACTCCTCCTACAATTTTAGTATGATTTCAGTATAACTTGGCACACAAGTAGACTACACTAAGATACATAAAATAGTGCATCGGTTTTTGATTTCGATGAGCGGTGTTGCAATGGTTACTAAAAATAGAATTTTCTGAGAAATTCCTTTAAAACGCTACTCCTTCTACAGTTTTGGTCTGATTTCAATATTACTTGGCACAAGTAGACTACACTAAGATACATAAAATAGTGCATCGGTTTTTGATTTCGATGAACGATGTTGCCATGGTTACTAAAAATAGAATTTTCTGAGAAATTCCTTTAAAACGCTACTCCTTCTACAGTTTTAGTCTCATTTCAATATCACTTGGCACACAAGTAGACTATACTAAGATACATAAAACAGTGCATCGGTTTTTGATTTCGATGAACGATGTTGCCATGGTTACTAAAAATAGAATTTTCTGAGAAATTCCTTTAAAACGCTACTCCTTCTACAGTTTTAGTCTCATTTCAATATCACTTGGCACACAAGTAGACTACACTAAGATACATAAAATAGTGCATCGGTTTTTGATTTCGATGAGCGGTGTTGCAATGGTTACTAAAAATAGAATTTTCTGAGATATTCCTTTAAAACGCTACTCCTTCTACAGTTTTGGTCTGATTTCATTATCACTTGGCACACAAGTAAACTACACTAATTTACATATAATAGTGCATCGGTTTTTGATTTCAATGAACGGTGTTGCCATGGTTACTAAAAGTAGAATTTTCTGTGGAATTCCTTTAAAATGCTACTCCTTCTACAGTTTTGGTCTGATTTCAATATAATTTATCACACAAGTAGACTACACTAAGATACATAATTCTGTGCATCGGTTTTTGATCAGTACAAACCAGTAGAGCTACAGTCTCGACAGAGACTTCTGGTTTTTTGCGAGTCTTTATCGTTGTGAAATGCCTCTTTAACATGAAATTGTGAGAACAATATTTTTCAAGTTAATGGTTGAACAAAATATTTAACATAATTTCAGCACCATAAAATTAAAAGCAATTTATTTTATTTCTTTGCAAGTGGTGCTTCTCGTAAAATTATGTGATAATTAAATCCTTGTAATATTATTTAAAGTAATCTACAGTATCGGATATATATCAATGATTGATTGTAGGAGCAGGAGGACATGGCTCTACAGATTGCCCAGAAGATTATCAGTGATGTCACCTCTGTAACTCAGGCTATTGGTGCTATGCAAACCTTTGATCCACCACCCGATTCTTAATTCTCAACAGGTGCCACAAATCGTGCAATACCTTGTTTTTTGATAAGTTAATATGTTAAGGTTTTAATATATTTTTATGTCCCTGCCATGAAATGGTCAGGTATAAATTGTTATCCCCTTTCCATCTGTCTTTTCATCCTAGTTAGGTTTGAGGACTTTTTATTTGCTTCTTGACTTTTTTTTTGTTGATGACTATTTAAGTTCAAATCTGAGTTTTTTGTCTATTGACTCAATTTTGAGAAAGACTTTTTTTTCCCTTATTGTTAAGTACTAATCTTTTTTTTCTGATGTTCTTTCCCATTTTAAGCAGCTTCAATATGTGGTTTAATACTCACATATTAAGAAAACAAAAATGTAATTTGATATTCTTTAGTTTCATTTCCAATCATTTTTTTCCACATTTCATAGACATTATAATATTTCAAACTTTAATGTCATGGGGGCATTAGTGTTATACAGACGTATCTTGTTTTAATTCTAGAAATATTCGGTTCTTCAAAGGACAGAAGTTCTATGAAATCTTTCATCAATACAATTGTACTGAATTGTTTATGAAATTGTGCCAGGATGATGCATTTAATTTTGTTTTATTTAATGTTTGAAAGTTAATGTTCAATGTGTAAGAATGTTATCAAAATCAATCTAGTAGATGAAGCAGTGTAATACTTTATATGTCTTGGAATGCACCCAAGACTTTGTATGCAGTCATTAATGATGATATCAATCCAAAAAGTGTTGCCCATGAGTGAATTACAGACAAATTTCCTATGTACAAGAATTATTTGATTGATTTGTTCTTTTTAAAATACAAATTACATGTATATATAAGTTTTAATTATTATGAGATGTTTAATGGCAGTGTAACTTGTGCAGCTATAGTATTTTATGAATGGTTCGGAGCGTTATTAGTGTCTGAATGAGAATTAACCAATGGGTGCCAAAACAGAAGGTATTTTTCTACATAACTTGCTATTGGCAGACTTTGTAAGCCAGATAAATTAAGAAACAGCCAGTTTCTTGTTATAAATGATTACATTATTGTTGTTTGCTGCTGTTTTACAAGTTATTTTTTTGTGAATCAAAATGATTGAACATACTACAATAAAATCTATATCCCAGCTCACATTCTACTTTAACAGTTTTAGGCATTGCATTGTAGAATGATGGTTTTGTTTATTAGAAAATACATGTATCTGTCTTGTTGAGATGCTCACACACTGATTACTGATACAGTGGAGTTAACAACACCACTTCAGAATTTGGCATATCTGTAAACATATCTTGGCAATGTTGCTGTTGTTTCTATTTAATCCCCTTATACATATTGATCTATATTTGAATTTCAATTGGACACAAACATGGTGACTCGGTTACTGTGAGATTCAACAAGTGGAAGGTCAAGAGTTCAAGTCTGAGATGGAACAGCTCAGATGTATTAAAAATAAAATGAGTTCTAAATTACTTTTCTTACACATCCAGCAACATATCACATATTCCTTTTACATTATAGAGAATGGGACTATTTGGTATGGGTTATTTCATGCAGGTGAAGAACCTGTAATCTTATTTTGTTAAGTTGGCAGTTTAACTTTTCATCACATTTATAGAAGAGAGGCTGCATATCACAGGCACTTGTTTTGTTTACGGGGAACCTCCTTCTTATTTTTAAAAATAAGTAGGGGTGCCCTGAATACGAAACAAGTGTCTGTGCTGTATAAATTAATACAAAACTCTACAAATAAGTAAAGGGCAGATTTAGAGAGAGGAAGTAATTCCTCACACTGATCAGCTGTACTTTAATCCTGAGGTTGTGTTCTGGTGACTTTATGAGTCAGACTTATCAAGATCCAGCAAGGTATTTTTACATGCTGACATATTTTGCCAAATTACATAATTTTCAAGTAAACTTTATCAAATGTAAGTGATAAGTATTTGAGTGTTAGTGTCTTTATCTGAACACGTTTCTGAAAACTTTCCCATCACCCGCTTGTGCCTTACCATATTATTCTCTGTGAATCTTTTTGAGATATTTTCATTTCAAACTTTGCTGTAGCATTAAAATTACAGAAATGTCACGGGCACCTGTAGACTTGGTTTGAATGTTGCTGATAGAATGTTCCGACAATATTACTATTTTTAAATTAATTCATTAATCATGGAAATTGTTTAAAATATAATTCCATGTTCAAGTGTCGGTGAAAACTTGAGATAGTCAGGTAATGGGTTAAAAAAGGAGAGATTTTTTGGGGTAGAGACTTACCTTTATAAGGCTGAATTCTACCAATAAATCAAAAATGTGTTCAAGCAAATTCTATACGTCAGTACTACATGTAGTATTTTCAAAAGGGGGAAGCTGTATAAAACTTTTAAAATCAAAATGATTGGTGTCAAGAAATGTCTTTGAAGTCCAGGGGAATATAATATCCTAAATCAGGGTAGGTCAAGTACTGACACAGCTCTTGAAGTATTTAAATGTTGCTGGGTATTACTCTGTCATCAACATTACTCAAACACTGTGATTTGTAAGCAAATCAAATGATCAATACAAAAAATATATATTATTTAAATCAAACAATTACTACAAAGGAACAAATAGATAAAAGAAAGTGAATATATTTTTTTCTTTGAACTAAATTTTGAAGGGTAAATTTTTTTTAAAGTTAATGAATTGTCCATAAAAGAGAAATGATGATTATTTGAACATGAATCCTGTTTAAAATTACCACAAAGTCGCACAAACCGTTTAAAATTAAAATTGTTTTGATATTAATTATTAATTTTTTTTAAAAATATATATTTAAATATATTTTGCCGTAATCGGTAAAAGACGTTAAAATTTCAACGTTGATAAGATTTGCTAACTGTGATAATTTTCAAACATGTCTTTTGAGATCCGACCAATGAGAAGCCTCCAGGAAGCTCTCTGTTCGGGACTTCTCTTATCATGCCAAGGTCCAAGAATGATAAGGTTAGAAAAACGTGTCAGAAACATGCACTGCTTTCATATATGTCAAATAGTGTACTAGTATTTGAAATTCAGCACAGAAAGCGTCAAAATTTTTTTTTTCTTGGGAAAGGATAATAGTTCTGCATCATTTAAATATACATTATGCCTGCTTCGGTTATCTCTAGAATGACACACGTACTTCATTTCAAACTGTTTGATATAACGAACAAACATATTGATAAGAGTTGCAGCTTTATAAAATTGATTGTTGAGAAGATGTTTATTTGTCTGAGTTGTCGGTTTTCCTTTTGGAAAAAGGCATGTAATTTATGGTTCCCTGTCCCCTGTCCATAAATTCCCTGTACGTAATATTATATTAATGTATATTAAATTGTTAAACGCTTTTAAAATGAAAGCACAATTATACAATAATGAACTTAATAATGTATTTTTCTTAAAACCTTTTTCTGCTGTTAATCCTGCTTGTTGGGTATACGTAAAGAGAAAAACTTATTAATCATTTTGATAAACATTCAAATGGAATCGGTTTACTTTGGTCTGAAATAAACTTAAGATAACCGTTTTTTTATTTTAAATTTTCCGGACAAGGAAGTAGAAATTCGGGCGACATTGGAGGTCACCTGTTTGTTTGGTCAGTAAATGAAACCTCCACGCGTCCTTATTAAAATGTCCGATTTTCTACACTTAGTATACAGCATATATGAAACACGGTCATTCTAACTCTGGTTAGCTTTGTATTCCCTGAGTCGCCTAGTTTTATTTTTTCTTCCCCTGTAAAATATAAATGATTTCCAGAATTTTGCAAGTATGAAAAGCAAAAGTGCTTATAGTGCCCGTTGCACAAAATCATTTAAAGGAACTTTTCGTAATTCCCTTCCGTTTCAAATTAACTTACTGAAATAAAGATTACATAACTAGACGAATGCTTCTCTTACATTTCAGTCTGATGTGAAATTACATTGCGTTCATGTTTAAAAATGCATTTTTTTTAAATTAGATATTATTATTATGCAATGTATCTTTTTTTTCTTGATACTAAAAGGTTGCTGCGCAAGTACCTTCTAAATTTTGTCGTCACAAGGGTCTAGTGATTAGGTTATGCGTATTGGTATTTGTTTGCTTTACCAAATACCCGCCCCAAAAGGAAACTATCCATGCCCTTATATACAGAACACCGTTCAAGATGCTATAAATAGACCCAACATAATAAATCAGAAAGAAGGGGAATTCTTACCAGGAGAAAGAGTATTTATTTATACAGGTAGAAATCTATATAAGAACGTGCAAACGACTGCACTTGTTGCTTATCTTCTTTAAAATCGAACACAGAAAATGATCAGAAGCATTGAAATAATATCATTAACGGTGTTTTGGATTTTGACAATACCAGTTATGTCAAATGGAAGTGCCCCTGTCGGTTTCTTTAAATGGCAAGACCCTGAAAATAATCGAACTGATTTATTTTGTCCGACAAATTGTAATCATGACTTTTGCGATTTAAGTAATATGCGTGTGGAAAAACAGCGGATGAACCAGATATGTCGATGTGCAGCAGTGCCTCTTTGGGAAATTGAAAACGAACTGGAACATGTTTCTTTGGAATACACCAGCCGTCTTGGTCGAGGTTGGGTTGTTTCCTCTGGAGATATTCGAGGGGCGAAATCACAAAGCCTCACTCACAAAAACGGCTTTCTTGCCTCCCTTCCTGAAAACATTTGTTCGTTTCAACACTTGGTCAAAATTGATTTATCTGAGAATGAATTGACGGACATCAGGGGTATCAATTGCCTGTCTAATTTGGATACCTTAATTCTTAAAGGAAATAAGTTAAAAACAATTAGCAATGACACATTTCAGGGAATGTCCAATCTACGTGTACTGGATCTCTCACTTAATGAAGTAAAAAGGATTGAACCACACACAGTATCTGGCTCCACGCTTGGAATGTATTTTGTTGATGTGAGTCACAATCACCTTAAAAGTCTTGACATTACAAATTTTGCCATTATAAATCCTTTTTGTGAAATAAATTATAACGACAATCAAATTGAAGAGCTCACGAACGAACTTACCATTAAGGTGGATCTGAAGACCAGCCTTGGTGACGGAGGGATTGTTAATTTGCAAAGAAACTTGTTTACCAAGTTCCCAGATTTCACCAAGCTTGGTATTTCAGACTTAACACAGCTTGGGAAAGTATTCAGCTTCGGTTTCGATATAAGAGGATGTAAGTTAACGTGTGACGGCACAATGGTGCCTTTTCTTGAATTATCAAAAGAAGTAATCGCGAAAGTTTGGAGAGATTATTTCGATGTGAAATGCTTCCAACCACCCGAGCTTGCAAACCAGTCGATCGCCTGGCTTACGAAAGAAGGACAGCTGGATAGATTTATAACTAACATAACCAAAGACTGTCCCACGGGTTGTCATTGCTACCAACAACCTAGCCGAGATCGAACTGTTGTCAACTGTACCAATACAAACATGACTCAATTACCTAAGAAGATTCCAAATGATCAAAATATAACATTAATTCTTAAAGAAAATCAGGTATCAGAAATTAAAAACATGTCTTATCTGGAGCGCGTCTCTCACTTGGATCTATCAGAAAATAATATACAGAACATTCCGGAGTCCGTCGCAAACACGCTTGTAGTAAATGAAGTTAAACTAACCCTCCATGGAAATCCATTACAAAAAATACCGCCTCGTTTTAAAACTGTGGACCCATGTGACATGCACCTTGGTAGGCAAAACATGACCTGCGACTGCAGCAATGCCTGGATGGGTGATTGGGTGAGTAGAGGATGTTATAACAATTCTGAACTGTCAGACATACACTGCAATGCCCCGTCCAGTAACATTCCGGTGGCTGAATATCAATTCGAGAACTGTGACGAACGCTTTGATTACAAGAGTTTATCCATTGGAATAGCTATACTTCTACTGATTTTGAGCGGATTATTGGCCATTTTCTATTATTTTCGTTATGAAATTTTTCTTCTTCGGAAACGACTTCGTCAAGCCAGAAAGCACAGGGGACAGTTTAAACATGACGTTTATATTTCTGTTAGTGAAAATAATGGCCAAATTTTATCGTGGATACAAAATATTCTGCTGCCCTTCTTGAATTCTAAATCTTACAGCGTATTTTTCCGACCGATAGATGAAGGTATTGGATCAGTGAAGGAAGAGAGCATCATCGATAACGTGAAAGATTCCCGAAATTTCATCGTCATCCTGTCATCGGATTACATATCAGATGACGACGACGATACGATCTGGACACAAATCGAGTGGAAACATGCTTGGAATTGCTTTAAGGAAGAAAGTAACGTACGCAATAAAATAATCATAAACTACGACCACCTTCGGTCAAGTATCTTTCCGATTGGTCCATTCAAGGCTTATTTACGCCTTGGCCTGGCTATCGACTTTTCCAACAGAAAACATAAACTACTAGAGGAAGTTGAGGAAAGACTTGGATTACCAAATAAGCATTGTTTAACAAAACAGTTGGGCCTAATGTCCTCCAAACCAAAATTTTGCTCCACATTTTATAACCAACATATTATTCATGACGTCCCAGGTATAAACACTAAGTGCAGCAAAGTAAAGCATACGTACGTTGTCTCGGATGACCACAAGCTTAGAACTAAAGACAACTCAGAGGAAGATAATGGAATCTCAGGAGGAGTATATTTACAGTCGGAAAATACATTCGAACGCTTAGGATTTTACTCAAAGACTGGGCATAGGGCACCTGAACTCGTGCATATTGACATATTTTAAGAGATGTATTTTTGATATTGATATCGCAGAGTGTCCTTACAATGTAGTCAAGTTGGAAGCTGTTTCACAGTCATCCAGTAGATCTAGAGTTAATACCTTTTTATTATTTATTCAGTCATTGTTTTGTGAAATGTTATGCACTGTAGGACTTACTACATTGTAGGATACTCTAAGACATATAAACTAGAGGTACTGTGAGCACTGAGTTCACTAAATTA